AAAGAGTGTTTTTTTTTTTTTTTTTTTTTTTTGCATCTAGATTCGCTGATGTCACGGCCGTCTGTCCCCCAGGTGTCTCGCGGACTCAAAACAGCGTGGATCAAGAGCACGCTTCCTGTCCAGAGTGAGGCCGGACCTTCTCCAGCTGCAGCTGGACGCTTTCCTGTTTAACGGGGATGAAAGAAACACAGTGAGAGTTGCTGACGGGCCACTGACTGCAGCTTCGCAATAGATTCTTTCAACTTTTGTCTTTTTTTCCCGCCAGCTCTTTCTAACATGCCGGCTAAAAGCCACCTCTGAAATGCGGAGGAGCAACACAGCTCACAAGGCCTGTACTTATATGCATTCAAGGTGACAACTTGGACTTTTTTTTTTTTTAACTTCAATGTTCTTACTAAAGTTCCTCAAATGGTAGCTGTAATGGACACCGTAGCATTTAATAGGTCATGCACCAAGGCACGTAAACATCCTCTCTGATGAATTTGTGGGAACTCACTGCATTTCTTCATCAGATGGGAAAACATAGATGGGAGCCCTGATGTGTGTCGTTGCTGTGACACCACCTGCACACAATACTCCTACAAACATCTGAAACCTCCTGGTAAGACCCTCAAGGAGCCTCTGTAACAATTCAAATGCTGCAATTTTACAGGATTTCATTCTCTTTCAGGTGCCAAGATGTGTGATGTTATTGTTCTAGGCCCTCTTGTGATTCTGCCCAAAAACGTCGGCAAGCAACAAGGTGGCCTATATAATAAATAGTCCTTTTTACAACTGTCTCATTGGTTGTATTTTTATCATGAGGAGAATGTGTTGTTGCCCTCCACTCGCATCGGGGCCAAGCAGTGCCGCAACCAACCAACTTCAGCAGATGGGGCTACAGCTGCATGACTGAAGTGGAGGAGTCATTGGCCTTGCATGGCATGCAGGTGTCATATGTGAAGTTTTGCAGTTGGATAAATTTGCACAAATATAGTGTAATAAACTGTTATTCAATTGTAGTCATTCGTGCATTTGTCATGGCTCTGTTTTCTTAGTCGTTGCCAGAACATCATACAAGAAGCACAGAATATGCATATGTGACGGGGCTCACAACTGTGATGTTCTCAAGCTCCACGTCGCTGCCGCCTCAATAAAACCAGACGCGTGGAGTGTGGCTTTTCTCTCTTTTTTTATTACATGTGACTTCCCTGGCAGCTCTGCCTGAAACACAGTATGGCAGGGGAATGGTGAAGTCACATTTGGTGTCGGACATAGCTGAGTAACAGAAAAGCACTATTAACTCAACGGGTAAAAACTTTCATTCGACAAAACGTAAAATTAAATAACAATATAAAAAGCGATTTGGACTTGGGACAAATCAGGGAACTAATTAAAGACATAGCACCGTAGAAAAAGGAAAAACAAAGTTAAATATTGTAAATAAACTATAAATGAATCCGGACCGTCAATGAAACGTGACTTACCATGTGACTTCCCTGGCAAAAAAAAAAAAAAAAAATCCAAGGTGGGGTGCATTTTTCATTCTTCTAACCACTTAATGAGCTGCAGAACCCCCCCCCCCCATCTAAGTGTCTGACTCTGTAACACCAGTTTGTTAATGTGTGTGAAATATGATCACAGGCATGCATGGCAGAGCCAAATTGTCAGTCCGGTCTTGCAAGAAGGCAGAATGAAAGGTGATGAATAAATAATGATGAACATGCAGACGATGTACCTACAAGCTGACTCGCACACACTGCTGCTGAGCCTAATTTACACTTTTAACTAGAGGTGTAACAAAAACTGATTTGAACCAGAAAATGTAAAAGATGCGAGTGTATTGAATCAAACTGAATCAAATCGTTCCACTTGTTCCACAAACGTACAATACAATACTATTGAGATACGTACAAAATTGTATTTTGTTGGACAGATATATCTTTGACTTAGGAGGAAGTGGCACATGTACAGTACTGACAATTTTACTCAAATGTATATAAAACGACAACAAAAAAGTAATTGCATCATTCACTCTCACGTACGTTCCCAAACCGAATCGTAATCCCACCGAGTTGAACCGAATCGAATCTTTGCCCTTTCAAATCGAACAGTCCTTGCATCGTTTCGCACCGCATGCCTCAACAACCACATCAAATCGCCTTTTGTAGAGCGATGCACACCCCTACTTTTAACTTAAGCACTCTTCTTTCCTTTTGCTGTCAAACTCCTAAAGTGCATGCCATAGGCTACACCACCGCTTACGGTCACAAATTACAATAGGGGGAGTCACAGCTTTTTCTGCAACAGGGGCACTTGCGAGGAATTGAACCCTCTCCGTCTGCATGATAGGGCTCAGCATGTAGCACTACATGTCAAACTTAAAAAAAATGCAACTGACCCATGTCTGTAGTTAGGACAGCTGGTGATAACAAACTGTTACAAAACGGCCAAATAACTAGAAAGTAATTCATGCCCCATCGTTTGTGCAGTTCATTCACTCAGGTGTTAACACTGTATTGTGTATTAAAATCTCTCTATGATTTCAAACAATTCCTCTGACAATTGTTAACACGTTATACGTGTTAGACTGAAATGGAGGGGAATGAATTTACTTCTCAGCATGTGGCTGTTGGTCACATTAAGGCAGGGGTTGGCAACACACGGCTCTTGAGCCGCATGCGGCTCTTTAGCGCCCCGCAGTGGCTCCCTAGAGCTTTTTCAAAAATGTTTAAAAATGGAAAAAGATGGGAGGGAAATTTTTTTGTTTTAATATGGTTTCTGGACAAACATGACACAAATATTATTAATGTTTTCCGATGCTGTAAAAATGTGTCGAATAAATATTAAATGTCAACAGAATAAATATTAAATGTCAACATTTCGTCAACGAATATTTGCGTCATAGCCTGCGACACACGTTTCTATTAGCAGGGCGGGATGTCAGTCAGGGGGCTGTTGTCAAAAATATAAATAAATAAATAAATAAATAAATAACAGCTGCCTTTCATGTACAATTCACCGAGGGTACTTGCTAAGAATGGGAATCCGGGCGGCCAAGAGAAACTTTTTAAAACGGTACACGTGTGCTACGATAGTTAGCACGCTGCGAAGGTGCGTCCCGTGCCTCCTTCATCTTAGCGGCCGTTATAGCTGTTCCTCATTACAGCATGCGTGTGTAAGTGTGTGCGTATGCGCGAAAAGTAGATCTTCCGTCAAAAAAGTTTGGGCACCCCTTCTCTACAGGATGAACTGCAGGGGGAAAAAAAAACTTTTAATCATGAACGCTCGCTGTGTATTTGTATCCACCTTAGTCATGTTGATAGCAGGCTAACATAGCTTATATAGATACATACAGCATGTGTTGCCTTCATTAAAAGGCTTTTTATTTTTTGCGGCTCCAGACATATTTGTTTTTTGTTTATCTTGGTCCAATATGGCTCTTTCAACATTTTGTGTTGCCGACCCCTGCATTAAGGAGACAGGAAAAAGGACGAATGAAGCAAAAATAGAGATTATGGCATATAACACTGCAGCATCCATTGAGCAATTCAATGGAACCTGACAGGAGATTTGTAATTTGAGTGGGGACAAACCTGGGTAGCCCTGTGTCACAGTGTTAATGCATGATGTGCTGAACACACCGACCCTGGCACCATGTCCATTTTTCATGTACATGCACACGCACAGCAACAAGGCTGCCATTGTGTTCAGTAGAAAGACCACACTGAACACAATGCCAGAAATGGCAGTGCCCCTGGAACACACAAACAGTCACACATGAGCAGAAGGGAGCAATATCAAACAAACACTTTTAGGTTGTTGCCACAGTGACCGACTGTATCTTCTGATATAAGTCAGCGGTGTGACGTGGGCGTGAGCACGAACAGGGCAATTCTGGTGCCTGTGAATAGTGTTGTCAATGTCAAAATAAGTCAGCATGTAGCCTTAGTCCGGGCTACAAATTGAAGAAAAATTGTGAAGAAGGCCTAAAAGAGTCAGCATTGGGAGCGACAGTGGTGAGAAGCATGGGCATCATTAGGCCTATTTTAGGGAGGCTTCAGCCTCCCTAAAAATGTCTTTAGCCCCCCTAAATAATTTCATTGCATTATTTTAAAAAAATATTATTTATTTTTCCTGTACTTTTGCTAATATATTGCATCAAATTCAATGTAATGCGGCCATTTTAAATTATATTTCGATAACCTGCCATTATTGTAATGTTAAATCTCCCAGGTTTCCTGAACGCAACAGGTGTTGCGTTAGCATTTGACGTGTCTGTCACCATCGCCACATCAAATGCTAACGCAACAACTGACAGTTCATTGCCGAAAGTCAGGTTGAGTCGACAGCATGGATATTCGACAGTTTTTTAGAAAGGTAAATTAAGTATTCAATGCATCCATGCTGGTAAAACTAGTGACTATAGTCCGCTAAAATATCTCCAGTAACAGCAGAAACTGCACTGTAACAAGTGTTCACTTTTGGATAAATTAAGGTGGTGCTTAATAAAAATTAAGCAACATTTTATAATTAAATACATAAATAATCATTACACCAACTCTTTGAGGCAACACCTATTGAGATTTTGGCCTATATAAAATAAATAAATAAATATAAAATCAATTTATTTATTTGATAGGAATCAGGCTAAAGACGCACAGAGAGTGAGCCGGGGGGAGCTCTGCTGGACAGGTGAGTCTATCAGATCTCAAGGCTAATTTTACTTGCAAGGCTGTTCCCAAAATGCAATCGGAGCTTACAGTAAGTATTATTGAGAAGCAAACTTGTGTTTTTCCAAAGTGATGAAGCTTTTGCATTTCATTGTACTACTTAAATTGCATATCACGGCAGACATCTCAAAATACATAGTCTTCTGGGGGCTAAGCATATATTAATACATTTTGGTAGAGAGGAATATAGGCCTACTGTCATATAGGTTATGTTATCGGGCATCCTTCTAATTCCCTTGAACAACCAAGATTGAACTTTTGAACTCTTTATAATTTCTATTATCTAGTCCAGTTAAAGTCCAGGGGAGGAAGCCCCATCATAGTAAAGAGGATACTAATGTGATGTGTGTAGTTCTTCATAGCCTCTTCATTTTGCTCTCAAAGTGCACGGAATTGATGGATTTTTAACAGAATGTAGAAAAAAAATTCTCCCGGGGGGGCATGCCCCCGGACCCCCCTAAAGGGGCTGTGTTCCCCTTGGAGCTAAGCCCCCCTTGTTCTTAAAACCTAGTGACGTCCCTGGTGAGAAGTATTTGAGTCACCACACAAATGCATGTCAGCAAAGTCAAGTTCTGGTAAATTAAAAGACAGTTGTTCAGTGAGCTAGCGGTTTCACTCGAAACTTAAACCCACTTTTAACTGAAATCAACCACTTCACGTTGCATAAGAGCATGTCGCCTACATAATTGAGCTCGGAGCAGCGGAAAGGTGGTGGGCCTTTCGCAGCAATACTCAGGACAGCTGTGGCACTGGGCTTCGCTGCCACCTGCAACACACCATGCACACAGTTTATAACGGAGCCACCACAATACAGTGCATGCAGTTTAACAACAGTAATTTCAGCAATTGACATCCTTGACTTTTTAATCACTCTACAGTATTATTTTTGGCATTATGAGTTTGCAAGAAGCGTAAATGCCACTGTTATTGTATGGCACCATTCACAAATGGGTAAAATTACTCTCCATCAGAGAAAGAATAAGACAACCTAACATGAAAGTAGCTGAAACTGACAGAAGCAGTGACGGATGGTGAGTAGTATGTTTGCCTGACTTCGGTGAAGTCACCACAGTCACCCATTTGGTGACTGTGGTGTGTCTCTGTAAGTGCGCTGTGACTGACTGTCAACCAGTCCAGAGTACCATAGTCAGCTGGGATAAGCTCCATGTCCCATGACACCCCTACATGAGCTGTCACCTTACCGTGGTGGAGGGGTTTGTGTGTCCCAATGATCCTACGAGCTAAGTTGTCTGGGGCTTTATGCCCTAGGCAGGGTCTCTCATGGCAAACAGATCTTCGGTGAGGGACCAGACAAAGCACAGCTCATCGACCCCTTATAATGGAACCAAAAAAATTGGATGGCGTTTTCCCTTGCCAGGACACAGGTCACCGGGGCCCCCCTTTGGAGCCAGACCTGAAGGTGGGGCTCACTGGTGAGCACCTAGTGGCCAGGTCTACACCCATGGGGCCCTGCCGGGCTCAGCCCGAAGAGCCAACGTGGGTCCCCACCTCCCATGGGCTCACCACCTATGGGAGGGGCCAAAAGGGTCAGGTGTGAAGTGAACTAGGCGGCGGCCAAAGGCGGGGACCTTGGCGGTCCGATCCCCGGCTCCAAAAGCTAGCTTGAGGGACATAGAATGTCACCTCTCTTGCAGGGAAGAGCTCAGTGGCTGTACTTTGGGGTTCACACCGGTGGACGAGAAGGTAGCCTCCATCCGCCTTTGGATTTATTTTGTGGCTATGACAACAAACAAGTCAAGAGGGTATGCAGTTTTAAAATGTCAAATGTTACACTGACATTCGCAACCTATTATTTTTCTAAATAGTCTGTATCTCACTGAGTGCATGCACATAGCATTCTGTTTTTTGTCAGGGTTCATTCAGTGTTGCAAACAGTTGTAAAAGTTTTCACCAGATACTCCCAAACAGTTTTGTTGTAAATAGATTTTATTATCGCCATCAACTTTTGAACATGTCAAATTTCTTTGACAAGAAAAACTGTCGTCTTTGCGACCATTTGCGACAGTGAACGAACCCTGATGGAAAAAACATTTGTTTGTAACATTTGTAAACCACTCAGTGAGATACGGCTTTAAAGGGTCACATGAAGGACTTTTTTTTTTATTCAACTCAGAGCATGAAATCTGTGTGGTACTTTCATGTGATTGTCAGCAAGGGAGCTTCCTGGGTGGTCCTTGCACGCCTTGGCTCAACAAGCACTAGAAACAGGCTCTCTGGGTCCCCTCAACCCCACCCCTTTTCTCGAGGCTTCTACACACCAATCTGACGTCGGCCAATGTGGCCAACTGCAGCATCAGCTCATCTGGCCGGAACACACGCACGCACACACTAAACACAAGGTTTGGCTTTTAACCAACACATTGGTCACAAAAGCAGTTCCATAGTAATAGTATTTTAGTTCATAACCTAAATTGAGGGACAATATCCATCCATCCATATTCTGATCCGCTTATGCTCACAAGGGTCGCGGGGCGTGCTGGAGCCTATCCCAGCTGTCTTCGTGCAGTAGGTGGGGTACGCCGTGAACCTGTTAGCCAGCCAAATTGCAGGGCACACATAGACAAACAACCATTCACACTCACAGTCACACCTAGGGACAATTTAGAGTGTTCCATTAACCTATGGTGCATGTTTTTGGAATATGGGAAGAAACTGGAGTACCTGGGGAAAACCCACGCAGACACGGGAAGTCCATGCAAACTCCACACAGGAAGGCCGGAGCCGGAATAGAACCCTGCACCTCTGCAGTGTGAGGCCGACGCACTAAACAGTCAACCACCGGACAATACCATTAGACCCTCCCAAAAACAAAAAACAAACAAACAAACAAACAAAAAAAAACCCTCACCAATGAATCCAGTAAAAATGAGTTTCTCAGTCTTTTCCATGTCATTGCCTGTGTCCTCATCCAGGAGTTTTCCATGAGTCTCCTCCTTTCTTTAGTCTTCAAACATGGGCGCAATCGAACAAAAAACAATTCCTTTTTGCGACGCTTCGCAGCGGTCACATGGTTGAATTCTGCATCATTATTCCCCAAAACGTATCACCCAAACTAATCATAACAGAAAACAAAGCATGGAAGCTGCGCCGCCCGTTAGTTGCCCCCATGTCTCTCCCACACCTCTACTCTAAACCTGCTGAGCTTTTCATTCTCCTACCCGAGAAAGAAGCGGGAGAAGGAGGAGGAGTGGGTGCGGGAAAGAGCAGTAAACTCTGAGATTTGTATTCTTGCGTAGGAGCCAAATCGTGCACGAGCCTTCCCAATATGGGTCCGTCAAGTAGAGACAGGCCAATGACAAAATACAAGTGATAGCATTGTTCACATTCTACACTCGCTACAATGACTTTATTATTAATCTGACACTTTGAGTTTGCGGAAAAGTTATTTGTAGATGAAAAGAAATGTTTTGGATCAAGCGCTGTTTTGTTTGAGAGGTTGTAAACGCACTGGTAAACTGAAAAAAATGGTGTGTCTGCATTATTCATATTGCCATGGTTTTTGTGTCAATATGGAAATATGCGCAATGTTTGTTCAGCACCAGGTCAAATTTGTCAGAGAGAAGCTTTCAAAAAAAAGAGAAAGGATGTCTCAATGTGATATATCGTTATTATCAGTTACGCAAATACAGTAGCGGGTGATCTTGTACAGTTGGTTGCAGTTGAAGCCGGAAATGTGTGACAAGGAGTTGACACTGAGATGCTTCATGTTCATAAATGCTGGGCCACAGCAAAGAAAATGAACATGTTTTTGTTGTAAACACCCACATTTTAACAGTAAACAAGGTTAGTAGAGGACATTGCAAGCTTGCTTTGTTTGGTACAGTTCATGACCAAAAAAAAAAATCTCAAAAAACTATCAAAAAACATCTACCATCTATCAATTCTCTATCGTCTGTCATCTGTAACCGGTCATCTACAACTTGGGTAAAGCTCCCATCCCACTGAGCTGCGAACAATTGCAAGGGTTTTCAAAGGTAGTTAATGTTACTTTCTCGTCAGGGTTTGGTCAACGTTGTAAATGTTTGCTAAACGGTCTCCAGGCATTTGCCTCTACTCTTGCAGAGGCTCAGATTAAACGAGTCCACACATGAAAAACATGGTAACCCCGTGTTCTCTCCTTATCAATCCACAGGTAGCATAAAATGTAATACTCTGCCTTGAAAATGTCTCTGCAGTTGATGTGAATACTTACAATCGTGGTGTAATTATGTGACATGAGTTAAATCAGAATCAGAATTACGCAAGAAACACACAAGGAATTTACTTCCCACTTACAACCCGTTCAGAGGAACATAGACAAGACAACAATAACCAACATTGGGGAGACAGAATGAGAAGCCTAGTGTTAAGCGCCCCGATATCTTACATGTGAAAGGAAACAGTCGGGAAGAGGAGGGAAAAAAAACAGATTGACTCCAACCATTCTCCTCAATGGGAGGATGGTTTGAGTCAGAGAAAAAAAAAACTCAGCACATGTAGAGTACATTGAAAAACACAGTACAACAATTCTCAAGACTTAACATGAATACAAGCAAAGACTTTGACATTGCACCTGCAGCTGCAAGGCCAAAACCTTATCAGTCACCAGCTCAGGGAAGTAAGGAGAGGAAAATAGGGAGATAGGATTCACGTCCGTGTGGTTTTTTTCATCCAGTGAAAGATAACTTATTTTGGGAACAGGTTGTCGACAATTTCAGACAGCCTTGAATGTCTTTCAGCATGTGACTCTCCGTGGCACCAATCTGCCGAATTCTCGATCAATCAGACACTGATTGAACACTCTAAATTGTCCCAAGGTGTGAGTGTGTGCGCGGATGGTTGTTTGTCTTTCTCTGCCCTGCGATTGGCTGGCAACCGGTTCAGGGTGTCCCCCACCAACTGCCCGGAGACAGCAGGGACAGGCTGCAGTACGCCCCCCCCCCCACGCGCGCGCGTGCGCGCGCACACACGCACACACCCTTGTGAGGATAAGCGGATCGTAAAATGGATAGATGGATGGATGGTGTATACCGCCACCTACTGTACAGAAGCACAAAGCATTTCCATGTATACAGGTACTCAATGAAAGCAACACTGCTTGTGTTCAGCCAAGCAAACAAACACACAAGACAGTTGGGGTGTGTTTCTGACAGACTGGTCTTTGACCCGGTCAGTGACGATTATGTTGCCAGACAAAAATCCACCTACGTCAGTGATTAGTCTGTCATTTTTTTAAAGTTCCCCATCATCAGGAAAACGAGTGTCCGCCACGGAGTGAAGGACCAGCCATCTATCCAGAGGGAAGGCCCACTTCTGCAAAATAGCAACACACTTAGCACTCTACATTAATACGTTAACAGTGGAAAGTAGGGAGAAGAGTTGTCTATTTAACCTGTTTTTTTTTTTTTTTTTACAAGACTATGGCGATTTCCTTTTATTAATTAAACTCATACTGGCCACTGTCTGTAAGTTATGTGGTACCCCGACACAGCACCATACTGGTCCCAGGCCGTCAGGACACTGTTAATGTCAGATCCTGTATACCAGTGGCGATTGCTCTCAGACTGCTAGGGAAGCTCAGCTTCCCCTAAAATGTCAAAGAATAAGTGATCAAATATATGAATGCAAATTTCATTGTTTGTACATGTCATTGACTAAATATGCACTACAACGTGCTCAACTTTTGTTCCGAATCAGCTTCTTCTTACTGGTTACGACGCAACTCCCTTCTCATTCATTCCCGCAGCTTCGCTGTGCTTTAAACGTGGACGCTAAGCATCCGCTGAGCGTCTACTGCCCGGACGCTGAGCGTCTCGAGAGTTCAGGGTAGCTTGTCCTAATGTGTTTAACGGAGACGAGTCATTGGATACAAGCTGGTTTTTGCCCCGCCCACGGATGCTCGGCGTCTCTGGGACTGGATGGCAGTGGGCGGTTACCGGACGCTCAGTTTTTCTGCATCAGATTGGATGATCTGTCTGAGCCTGTGTTCCAGTTTGATTGACATCGAAATGAGCCAATCACCGATCTTTTAGTGTAGGCATCCGTGGGAGCACTTTCAATTCTCATTCTGTTCTAAATTGAACTGGAGACGACTTCTAATCATCTTAGCGAAACTCTCTTTGTTGAAAACGATAAGTGATGAATTAATCTTTTATTACTGGTGGGTTTTATTGTAGTTGCTGTAGGTGTAGGACACTAGTTAAGTTCCTGGAAAAGACGCCTTGTTGGTATGACAGGGTTACAGATAATTTTCTTGAAAAGGAACGGAGAGTAGAATTCGCGTTTATACAAACGGACACATTTTATGATGTCGGCCAAAATTGAGCTTCCCCTCCCTGACAGATCAGCATCCGCCACTGCTGTATACGTGGGTGAATAATTCAAGTCCACGACCCACATGTTGCAGCAATGATCCGAAATGCCTTCCAGATGTTTCTTTCAAGCAATAATGATGCTGAGGCATTAAAAAACAAGCAGGTAAAATGTAGGTCTCTCCCTGAGTGGCAAATCTGTGTTTTTCTTTGTCAGACTCAAAATGAGAAAAAGGGGATACGTCTACGTGCATTGTTATTCAGCTTCTGGGTGACAGCTTTATTTTTCTGTTGCCACTAGGAATGTGAAAAGTGTGTGATTGCAGGAGTGTGTCAAATGTTGGATATGTAACATAACTTTCAAAGGACAAACTTCTCCAGAGTCAATATTTTATTCATGAACCAAGAACCAAATATATATATATACATACAGTATATAAAACATTGCATAAATACTCTTTATATTCTATACTTCCTTCTGTGATCTCAATAGCAAATAAAAATAACATTAAAATTGCCACATGATTATATTTAACAGGCTGTACAAAAATAAATAATGTTTGGATATTTTGTACAAAAGAGGAAAAACTGCACGAACAGATGCCTTCGCAGAAGGCAGGAGAGACTTACTTATGAAGTAGTAGCAGGAGACAAGTCCCTCGTTAAGTCTCCACACACATATATACATGTAACCCAACACACACACACACACACACACGCACACGCACACGCACACGCACACACACACACACACACACACACACACTCACGCACTTTCACGCACACACAAGTTCTTTGGTTTTCAAGATATGGCTAAATGACAAAATACGAGGCATTCATAGAGAGAGAAAATGAGTGTAACAATGTGCCGCTGGAAAAAACAAAAGTGAAGTGCTACAGGTTTGTGATAAATAAGTGTTGACTAATAGTTCAGAATAAAACTCAATTTCCATACCTGATGGGATGACTAAGTAGAATATGAAATATGTATATATATATATGTATGTATATATATATATATATCCTTCTGGAACGGATTATGTATGAAAACCGAGGTTTGACTGTATATATATATATATATATATATAAAAAACGATCTCCACTACCAATAAACTGTCCAGCCCAGCTTGGACAAACAAAATATATGCCTCAAATCTTTACATACTCTCACAAACAAGCATACTATTGAAATTGTAAACAGCATGCTCAAATTCATGAACGTCCACTATGCTTGCTGACGTGACACTGCTGCACTCCAAAAACAGGTGGCAGACTTTGTTGCTCCGGGTGTGTGACACTGTCAATGTGCTTTTCGGCAATGTGTGTAGGTGTGGAAGATATAGATGCAGTCATTGACATGGGGAATTCATGAATTGGTTAAAAAAAAAAAATTGAGGTCAGATTGTCAAAGCAGTCCTTAGCAGGCACCTTGATAGCACAGCTCCAGCAGGGGTCGTGGTCGGTCTTTGAAGTCACAGCTGTCGTGGCTCAGTGTGTGGCCATCATAGCCAATGCAGCGAAGCTGGCGTTTTCGGAAACCTCTGCCACAGGTCTTTGAGCATACGGACCATTCTCCAAGAAGCCAGGAGGGGCAAGGCTGAGAGGCACATGATCGTGATGCCAAAGGTCGCAGCTCCTCTGGGCACTCCTTGGATGGACGGCCTTGGGGATCCAGACACACGACCTCTCTCTGTTGCATACCACCTCCGCAGGTCTGGGAGCAGGGGCCCCACTCCATCAAAACCCACTCAGCAACACCCAACTCTCGGATGGCGTTGATCGAATGCCGACGACCTCCGCTGATGTTGGTAGAAGCAGCATTGTTGGGTCTGGGAGCAAAGTAGCTGTACTTCACTCTGGGCCTTGGGGCTTCCCCCACAGACAGTACCTGAATAGTGAGAGCCTCAGGGAGGGGGGAAAAGCTGCGGAGCCGCTCAAGACTGGCCGAAGAACCGCTGTATCGCAGCAGTGCCCCTCGCACAGTAATGTCCGACTCTATGGTCATTAGCTTATAATCGCCATTCAACAGGTAGGTACCGTCCTGTCGACGCACTGCCAAGTAACTATTGTCATGACGACCATTGCCAGGCGCACGCTGTTTGACATCAAGATGGGTGGCACCAGCTGGGATTGTCACCACATCTTGGTACCCAGGCCTGGAACAAAGACAGCAATTGGTTAGTTTAACCAGGCCATGACTCGAATGCTTTGCCAGAACAGCTTATTTATTCATCCGTTTTTAGAGTGCTAGTCCTTGGTGGGGTCGTGGGTAACAGGAGTCTATTCCCGCTGACTTTGGGTGAGTGGTGGTATGTAAGATGGACTAGTTGCGAGTCAATCACAAGGAGCATGGAGAGAAACAACTATTCACAACTATGGACAGTTTTCATAAACCTAACATGCTTGAGAAAGCCCACGCAGTCACTGGGAGTAAATCCAAACGCTATAACAAGACAATCCAACCGACATTTGAAATCTGATTTGTCCTTGCCGTAAATAAATGTCTGTATTTGTTGATGTTCAGAATGAAAAAATGCCCTGGATATTACCTGGCACGCTCCAGTGAGCCTGACACTTTCTTGCAGGTGGAGCCATCCCCTCCACACACACCACATTTATCGTAACGCTGGTTGGAGCCAATAACACGATCACATCCAGCCTTGACACACTGGCCTTGAACACAAACTGAGGTGGAATCGGGGCTGCAGGGTGTTCCATCCACCACCTGGGGGCAACACAAGAACAGACTGGAATGAAAGTCCTGCTTTGAATGAGTTACTGTATTTCAAAACAGGATGAAGTATTTTTATTGAAAGCGTTTTCTGTATTTGCTGTAAACTCTTCAGAACAAACATAAAGGAGCATTTTCGCCATGTCAAAGCACACACACACACACACACACACACACACACACACACACACACACACACACACAAACACACACGTACACGCAAAAGAACAAAGCAGTAATTGAAAGAACATTTAAAAACAAACTAGTAAAGAATAACTATGAAATGTTTTTGTGTTTACATCTATGGTGTGTAAATATAGAAAGAGTAACTTTTGAAGATCAGCAATGACCAACGAGTTCAAAAGTTCAAAAATAACTTTTTAAAACATATTTTGGAAAGGTACTGGGGTGCGGTTAAACACAGGTGTTAGAATTAGCTGCAGAATGACTGACTGTACATATTACTATTATTTTGATGGTTGAGACAAGATAAGGTTTTGTAATATTGGGAACTGATAGTCCACTGTTCTTCGAAAATGAGGGTTGCAAGTGTATTGTTGAGTAAAATGAGTCTGGAAACTATAGTATAATATTGATATTATAAGTCAATGACACATTGACAATTAATACAGTATTATGGATAACTACATATTTGCGGTTAAATGTGGTATTTTGACACAAAGTGAATTATAAATTGGAATATTGGATCAAGTAATGTAATTTATTTTATGTTTTTCTTTCTTTCTTTTATTTGTTAATGTTTGTAATTTCACAGATTTCTTTTGACAAGCTATTGTATTGTACTGTCGTATTATTTTTATGCATGTTTGAAAACAACATTAAAAAAAAAGTTATAATTCAAGGTACACCGGGTGCTGGAAGACAAAACCAGATCATTTGGCTTGCATGTCGGCATAAGGGTGACCAAGAGTTGTCAAGACAATCAAAACGTAATGTAACATATTTTCAAAAATCCTTACCTTAGATTTGAGAACAAAGAAGTATCCTGTTCCCTTGGCTCTGCACACAAGCTTGCACCGGTCTTTGGGTGAAACGCCGGCATATTTGGGCACCCATTCAACACCCTCGCCGGATCCAAGAGACACTTGGGCTGACATGTCATTGTGAGCCAGACACTGTTCCTCCCGAAATGACAAGCCTAAAGAGCAATGAGAAGTTTCGGTGGTCAGATTTGTTTGCTTTTTTTCCTCTCCGCAAAAGTTCACGGATCTATCAGAGCGTGCAAGTTTTTCATAAATCCCACTTAGGTGAGTATTTCTCTGTGATGTCAATGCTGACTTACCATTGGCGTCAGGGCAGGCCTCTATGTTGCAGGAGCGGTACTGGACTCTCTTGCCCTCACAGTACTTTCCTCCATTCTTTGGCAAAGGGTTATCACATGAACGGAAGGAATATTGCACCCCTCCCCCGCATGTCCGAGAGCAGTCACCCCAGGGACCCCACACTCCCCAGCCACCATTGACAGGAGTCTACAAATGTTACACAAGCATAGGTTACAGTCTGAGTCAAAGCCGAGGCGTGATGCAGTACTAAAATATGTTCCTGTTGCATGGTGAGTAGGAGTAAAGTTCCTACCTGGTGTTTGGAAGCTTGGCTCCTTGTGAGACAGTGCCCGGCCAAGCAGTAGCTGTCGTGCCCACAGGGGGTTCCATCAGCCCATGGGGAGTTCTTGGTCTGGCACACCAGCAAACCATTGGATGTTGTAACGGTGCACCACAGAGCAGCACATGTGGTGCTCAGGTCAGGGCAATGTTGGGAGTCATCACCGAAAGTCAGCCGACACTGATGGTCTGCATCGTAGACTGTCCCGGGGAGGGGCTGAGGGAGCGGTTGAGGCTTGACTGGCTTATCAAGCAGACACTGACCGTAGCCATTGTCGAGAAAAGTGGTGACCATGAGGGCGGAACAGGGTGACCATGGCTGCTGCTGGTCAAGATTGGACAAGGTAGAGGCCATCATGTGGGAGCCCCAGTGGGGGCCATTCACCCCAGAGCACAGCTGGGCATCATCATGAGGCATGTTGAAGACATGGCCTGCAGGACAGGGCAACAAAACGACACTTAGCAGTGCACGCAAAGCATCATTGTCACACATCAGAACATGTCACTTTTTTGCTTACTCACCAAGTTCATGTGCCACGGTGAATGCAGCTTGCAGTCCATCATCTTCAATGATTGAGCAGCTTCTGTCTGGGTCACACACTGTACCAACATCAGCCATTCCGAGAGTGTCACATGAATGGGCACCACACAGGTCCTAAAGGAGCAGATGAAGGAGGTAAAACATGCTTTGTAGTCCTTTTCCACATCTTTATCGCTCACAATTCTTCTCTTCTCCCGCCAACTTACCGTCCTGGTGAAGAGCATGGCTGTGTCATAGTGCTCAGGGTGGCGGTCACTGGGGGGGTTGTGCTGGCGCTGCCACTGGCAGAAGTTGCGGAGGGTCATGGCAGCATTCGATGACACTTGAGGGCCTCTCTCTTCCTCGTAGACCACCAGCAGCTTTACCACAGCCAAGGTGATTGAGTTATGGATGCTTGGGTGGCGGTACAGGCGGGATGCCACGGCCATGATGGTGAGGAGGTAAGCCTTGAGCCCAGCACCGTGGAACTCAGCCATGGACTGGTCAGCCACCAGCATTATCTCCAGGTAGCGAGGAGTGGAAACAAAGCGCCTGGTCCTGTGGTGGGCTGAGGGGATGGGGTGCGGGTTTGAGAAAATATATTACAACTCGTCTCTCAATGTGTTACTGTGTTTCCTCCTGTCATTTTTCATAAAGTTATTCGTCATTACACTTTTTCTGACCAGGTAAAACAGTGTCCAAGTGTGAAAATGAGCAGGGACAGAAAAAAGTTGAAGAAAATGAAAATAGTGATTTTTGCTTTCAAAACGTGTTTAATATCATCTGTTGTTAATTAGGGCAGTCCTACATCTAGTGGTTCACAGCCTGGTTGAGAGGTTTTCTATTCCAATCTCTGGCTAGGGTCCTCCCGTGTGGAATTGGTACATTCTCCATATGCTTGTGTGGGTTTTCTCCAGGTACAGTGCTCCAACTTCCTCTCACATTCCAAAACACACACGTTCACATCAACAAAATTTAAATTTGCTGAGAAAAGCAGATGGCTGAATGCGATACTGTATTGAGTTCCAAAGAAAGCTGTGTGTGTGACGGAGGCAGGACGCCATGACTCAGCATCATGGCACCTCCTCCCACTTCTTTGTTCTAAAAATGACCTTTTCTGCTGGAAAATTCTGACATCGTTTGTAGAGGGGAAATCCTTTATGGGGGACACATTTCTGTACCAGGAGGCGAGTTAGTACGTTTCAGCACTGCAGGGCTGCAACTGGCTCTGCTTAAACCCCCTCCTCCCCCTCCTCCCTCTTATTTCTCCTCAGGGGTGTAAAGCCTGTGCCACCCACTCCTATCCATACTCCGCCCCTGTTGGCACAGGGTGTACGGCGCTGTCAAATTGTTGCTGCGTCGGCAATAAAATCTGCACGCGCGCGCACACACACACACACGCACACACACACACACACACACACACACACACACACACACACACACACACACACACACACACTTACACTAAACGCGCGCACGCGTGCGCGGAAATTTACGTGTTGGACATACTATACAGGTTTTTGCATACAACTGCCATTCGACACACTTAGTAAGTGTGTAATACTTTGTGTCACTTACAAAGTATTTCGTTTTAGAATGGTGGGTGTAAAACCTTACCTGTCTGGCCTGATTTAGCGGCGGCTTCGCGTTCAGGCTTCTTCTCCAGATTCGTTGGCACCCTCTCTTCGTCCTCATTGACCCCACACTTGGCGCTGCCCTCACCGGTCTCTGGCCGAATCCTCCGGCGGATGAGGTGGACCTCCTCCTCCTTTTCCTCTTGACCGGGGAACTCACTTGCGTTGAGCGGTTTGATGAAATACTCTTGGCCGTGAAAGTAAAATCCACCACTCAGTCCCTGGCACAGGTTTAGCGCAGCGGCAGAGTGCTCTTCTCCGTTCACCGTGCCCGAAAAGAAACAATCAGACTCATCTGCGCCGTTGGGTTCCTGGGTCGGTTCGGATTCGGGAGTGCCCACAATGTGCAGGACGAACCCCGGGGACAAAAATGTCTGATCCGACTCCAACTCCAAGATCATCTCTTCACCGAACACGTCCAGCCTGTACACCCTCATCTCCGACACTTTCTGTCTTTCTTCAGGGGAGAGGGGTCGATCCGGTTCGCTGTCACTCGCCGTTCGGACCGTTGGGTCGAGCCTGACAGGCACCGCGGTACTCTCTTCCCAAGCGCTTTGCGTCGCGCCGGCGCACAGGCCAGCCATGAAACCAATAGAAACACAGATAAGCCACATCATGGAGAACTGGAATCCAACAAGCAGATGGAAACGATGGAAACGTTGATGCGGTGACGTAAGTGAAGTCCTACTAACTTAAAACATACAACTTCCACAAAGCTCTTTCCACACTGCGCACACAAGTCTAAAAAGAGCCCAAATCCAGTGCAAATACTATTTGAAGTTAACAGTCACACTGACAAAAAGCCGAGTTGAGTCAATGAAAAGGCTGGATCTCAGTAGTAAATCCAAAGGGTCTTTCGCACTCCCTGCTCTTCCAAAACTGAGATGTCAGCGCCTGGTTTTGTCTTGAAGGTGCAGCGTTGCTCTTTCGTCGTGCTGACCCCCAGATGGATCGCTGCTTTTTGACTGGCAGTCAGAATTGTCCGACTTTAAATACGCCCCGGCCGGGTGTCCCCACCCCCTTTTGTGGGCCCTTTGATCTGAGAGGGGCCAAGTCCTGTGCGCAATCAAAACGTTTCAGGTTGTCATAATAATCATCGTTTAAAAACAACAACAACAACCGGAGCTTTGGACAGAGGAACATTTCCCCCTTGGAGTACCGGAATGTCGTTTGTTTTGATCCTAAATGTAAACACACTGTTTATTTCCCTTGTGTAGACTGAGCCCCATAAATCCCCAGCAACTGAGACTTTTTTAAAGTAGCATTTACGATGTACATTCATAATCTTTGTACGTTGCAGTGCGCGAGGGAACAGAAAGAATCACCAGGACAGGGAATGGAAACCGCATCGCACTCGGCAGGGCTCCGAGTGGCGTGCTCAGCTTCTCCGAGCCAAGTCGACTGTGTTGAGCCACAGCCAGCCGGCGACCGAACGCAACTTCTCGGAGAGAGGGAGCAGAGAGGGGCCGCTGAGGTCTTAAGGTGGAACGCTTCTTCAGCTGAGGCAGCTCCTGCATTGGACCACGTACATATTCAGCCCCCGTCCGCGGATCTCTTCCCCCTCCCGCCCGTACTTGGTCTCCTCTGGACAGCCCGTGAATAAAGTAGCCTGGGGTTTTACTTAAATAAGTGCCACACCATTCTGAAGAAAAATCTCACATCTCACATCAACTTTATTAGCTTCAAATAAGAAATGCATGTAAACTGTTGGAAACAACTACCCAGTCTTTATAAAAACAAGAACAACATTAAATCGCTTGGGTCATAGAAATGCTTTAAAAAAAATCTTTCGATACTCATGTGTCATGTCTTTGTTTATCGTAGTTGCTGGTTATTGCGATACAAGTGTTTCCCAGACTACCGGAGACAAATTCCTTGTGGGTTGGACATACTTTGTCAATAAAGATGGTTCTGATGACGATGAATAATATAACGAATAGCAGTGGTACATATTTCATACATCCATTTCGGTACCACTTATTCTCACTATATTCGCTTCTTTATAGTCATCATAGCACAGCTTTTGTAAAACTACATTTGAAACACTGAATCAAATTCCCTTTAAATCTTCCACCTTAACAACAACAGCATAGAAAAAAAGGACTGCAATTCAATATATATCCACTAGATGGCAGCAACGACCTAAAGAACGCACAAACGTTGTCTCGAGCAATTCCCAGTTTAGTTCAAAGGTGGCGGTGTTGTATTACAATGGAGGATCGAGAAAAAAAATTCCGCTCTTGCGTCAGTCAAGTGGCATGAGAGAGAGAGAGAGAGAGAGAGAGAGAGAGAGAGAGAGCGTTGCCAAAATGCATCCTTCCATTTTACTCACCGTTTGTCCTCATTCGTGTGATAGGTGAGCTACATCCTCCCCCAGCAGATTTAGGACGAGAGTCTGGGTGCACTAAGGAATGGTCCACAGGCAATCACAGAACACAAATTTCCACACTCAATATGACCTATGGTAAATGTAGTGTCATCAATAAGTTAACGTATGTTTTTGGAATGTGGAAGGAAAGACGACTCATTGGAGAAACCCCTCGGAGGCACAGGGAGAACATGCAAACTCCACAGATGAAGGCCGGAACCAAGATTCATTCCTTTATTGAGCCAAGGCACATTTATAATGTAGCGGCACACGACCAAACAAAATTGTCAGAAAAACTACTGATACTTAAATATTGATGGTTTTGTCTCCATTTACTCACAAATGGGGCTACTGGACACAAAGGCATTATTTTGGTGCAGGCTTAAAATGTATCCATCCATCCACTATCTGAGCCATTTATCGTCACGAGGGTCGAGGGCATGCTGGAGCCGATCCAAGCTGTCTTCGGGGACGAAGACGGTACACCCTGAACGGGTTGCCAGCCAATGACAGGGCACACATAGACAAACAACCATTCACACTCACAATCACAACCAGGAACAATTTAGTGTTCAATTAACCTACCATGCATGATTTTGGAATGTGGGAGGAAACCAGAGTACCCGGAGAAAACCCACATTGGCAGAACGTGCGAACTCTACACAGCAATGCCAGCTGTTGAGGAACTATGTGTGCTAAGTTTGTCTACTTCAGGTGTCCGTAGCAAAAGATGGCAGCGAAACATGGCAGCAGGTCGAGTAACAATGCTTTGGTAGCTGATCATTTAAAGATGAAGGCAGCCTCCTGCAGGGGAGGCACATTCTGTTATGTATTATTCTATATTACCATAAGCGATTACTTCATCTACATTAAAAATTACATTGATGTGATAGAACATATTTTTTGGCATAGCAATGGAGTTAATAAGGGTGGTTGACTGGTTAGCACGTCCGCCTCACAATGCAGGGGTGCAGGGTTCGATACCGGCCTCCGGCCTTCCTGTGTGGAGTTTGCATGTTCTCCTCATGCCTCTGCAGGTTTTCTCCGGTTTCCTCCCAAATTTTAAAAACATGCATGGCAGGTTCATGGAACACTCAAAATTGTCCCTGTCCACTGTAGTAACCGCTGTCCCTGAAACGGTTAAAGTCAAGGACAGTTCCAGACCAATTTCACATGGGGGGCAGGGCTAGTTGAATCGTTGCACATGCACGCACGCACATTTAGTCAATGCATATTTTAAAGCCTCACCATGCAGTGAGTGAAACTGCAAATTAGTTGAAGCTATGTATTCTATGCATCACATATTCCTATTTTTAAAGGTAGCAAAGAGTAGTAGAGAGGAATACACAAGTTTTCAGCAACCCACTAGGCTATATAAATAACACTTCAATATTATTGGCTTCTGTTGTGGGTTTGTGTTGTGGTAGGGATAACTATTGTTAGCTAGAAGCGTGCAATCTACTCAAGCTGACATTACCGTCCATGTACTTTGCCTCCCTGATTGCTGCACTTGATGTTGTCCACTTTTTTCTGCACCGCAAAACCACAAAGCCCACTCCTGTGACACGTTCGGCCGCTTAAGTGATTCTCCATGTCGGTATCAACCTGACTGAACACAATATGACAGGCGCGCATGGATCCAAGAAACGCTTTGTGTAGTCCATCTTTGGAAAAAAGCGGTTTCACGTTGGAGCCTTGGGTCAGCTGCCCGCTGTCATGTGGGTTAGGAAAAGTGGAGTCTAATTAAATTTAAACTGTGCTGTCTTTTCCTGTGGTCGAAAGGAGGCAGCTGTTCATCTCTCCTCCACCCGATGACATTTTCAACAAAGGTTAAGGAAATGTGGTGTAAAGGTTAGGAGGTTTGGCTTTCCAAAGAGGCGCTTTCATACAGTATGTGTGCACCGCTAGTCTCTCTCTCTCCCTCTCTCTGTTGCTCCATTTGCTAACTTTGCTCATGAGCAAACTCCCAGATATGTTACTACTCTACGCCAATAAAGTAAATGAAATACAATTAAACATGATCAAAGTTCTTATCACTGACTTAAAAAATCCAATACATTGAATATAAGCAAATGAGGTTTGATACTCAAGTATTGCAAATGCTAGATACTTTAAGAGTTTACTTTCAGTAATATTCTACGACACAGGTGTCAAACTCAAGGTCCGGGGGCCAGATCCGGCCCGACACATCATTTTATGTGGCCCACAAAAGCAAATCACGCCAGCTTCCATGATTCTTGCTAAAACTGTACCAAAATTTCAAATTATCACCTGTAATAAGTAATGTTGAGATTTCACTTTTTTTAATCACCCTTTTTGCAGTAACTTGAACAATTATTGAACAAACTATTATCCGTGACTTCTGATTTCAAAACCAGTAATCCATAATAATATGATGAGACGAGAAAACATTCATTTCGTTTCACTGTCACTGAGCGAAGCCGGAACTACAAAGTGGCCCACAACCAAAACGACTTTGACACCCCTGTTCTACCAGATGACTTGAACATCTACCAAAGTTTTGCTCCCGTGCACTTTAGACAAGACTGTTGTGTTGTATGGAGGGCAAAAGACATATTAACATATTCATTGTACCTTCTGCCATCTTGTGGAAGAACATTTAATTGTTTTGCCTGTCAGTACACGCAGCTGGCATAGATAGATGAACGATGATCAATTATTCGAAGTAAATTAACAATTTTCAGTACATGGATAACAACTGTCATCCATCCGTGTTCTATAGCACTTGTCCTATGTTATGGTCACGAGTGAGTTGGAGCCTGTCCCAGCTGACTCTTCGGCAAGAGGTTTGGGCACATCCTGGACTGGTCGCCAGCAGGTCACACAAGTATTCAAACTCACATTCACACCCAGGGACAATTTCGTCTTATTTGAACCTAACATGCATGTTTTGGAATGCAGGAGGAAGTCTGAGTTAAGAAGAGCACATCCACATGCCGAATGGGGAAGCCACAGCCGCGATCTGACCTCTGGAACTCTCGACTGCAGATGTGTTCCTGGACCATTGTGCTGGCAGGTAGCTGCTGTTTATTACTTTTAAACTCAAACGAGGTGGGGTACAACGGAGAGAACAATAACAAAATGACAAATAAACGTTGTAGTTTGTGTGCATGCACATTCATCTCTAACATTTACTTCTCAAATCCACATACACGTCGGACATAATTGGACTTTCACCACATGGGAACTGTCGCAACCAAATATATTTTGCTTCCCATTCACAGAGTAAACCGAGTGGATTTTGTCTTACTTTGTCAAGTGTTTGTATTGGTTAAAACACACCCGCACCCACGCCCACAAACACAAGAAGACGCAAGATGTTTAAATATAGATATTTTATGTACATCCCACGACGAGAAAAAAAAAAACACGATATCCTTACACTGAGAATTCTGCATCGTCCTAAAGTTAAATAGTAATCTGGTACAAAATTACTACAATAAATAAACCTCATTTCGTTGCTTCGTTATTCACACATAGCAGTTGTACAAACAATAAATTACAAGCTCAGTGCTGTTTTTTTGCTGTTCAGCGAGAGGGCTTTCCTCAAAGGAAGAAGGTGTGTGTTTCAATGAGGTGAAGCGATGTTGCACGCGGCTCTGCAAATTGCTTTGAATACCAACGCATACATCGAGATCATCCGCCGTTCAAGAAGGTTTACATTGAGTTGATGAGTCGCAATGTGTGAAGCGGGGGTACACGCATACTGATTTTGAACATCCTGACCATTTTTTAAAAATATGAGCGACCCCACACGATGCGGAAAGATATCATGGCGGGTCTTCCATTCTCATATGCATCGTACTTGAGATCATCGACACTGCACAGCGCACGCACAACCATTTCTCCGCTGGTCAGGATTATCTCTCAGTGAGATCTGAAAACTGGGCTTTCGCTGACTTTGATTAGAAGTGGCGGAAAATATTCGCTCCCATTACCAGTATGTGTGCGCCCCGCTAAAAGGCAGTGCACACCAATGGAAATTTCCCAGTGTATTGTCTTTGTTTGCATTTTTACTATGACTCGCAATGCAGGTCAGCAGACGCACAAACGCGCGCACGTGCGCACACTTCAAAAATGAAGCAAAATAAGCAATGTGTCTTTCTCCTCCAAGAATGTCAATCTGCCAGTCATGGAGTCACGGTTACTTTACCCCCTCGGACATCAACACTCGTGTCGTGAGGAAGACGATTCTTCCTGAGCTATTGCAGAGCGAAGGAACTTCGAGAACCTGAGCAAGTCTCGACCACAGAATAGCTGATTCCCCGGCTTTTTGTCGTATGATTGTGCGGGATGGACAGAGTGTAAAGCACCACATACTGTATAAACACCGAATGTCTGGGTTTCCCCGTCCATTGTTGGTCAACATCGGCCCCTGTCCCTGGTTAACTGGATGGTCAAAGCGTTAAAGTCAGCCGGAGGGCGAATGACGTGTGTGAGACTTATTTGGGAGGATATAGCACTTGAACACACACACACACACACATGCGCAAACATACACACTCACACACACCAACAAAGACACAACATAAGACAAAATACATTTGGATGCTGAAACAAAGTTGAGTCACCAACACACGCGAAAAAAAGGGTCCACACTTAACTTGTGCTCTGCAACTGTGATTCTGAGACATTCTTCAAGCAGAGTCTCTGTGAGACTTGGTCCAACATTCACAGCCCTGATTAAGGTTCTAGATTATTTCTTCAAATCATCGGTCCATATTCCAACACGCAGCGCTTGCTACTTTTCTTGATCCACTTTACGTTGTCCTCCAAAGTCTTGTTCCCCCTCCCCGCTGCCATTTTAACATTTTCTCACAAGACAGTGTTTAAAAGCAGAGGGACGAGAATCCAGCAAACATCCCTTGGACAGTTTCCCACCCTGGTCCTTACACTGAACAGTCCTGCTCTGCCAACCAGTGTCACAAGTCCTGGAGCAGCTCATCCAAACTCCCGTCACCCATTGGGGTCCAGTCGGCGGTGTGGACAGAAAGGAAGCTGCCGTTGCCGTAGGAACCAGGATAGTAGGGGTGGGGGAGGATGTCGTGGCGCTACTGCGGGTGGTTCTGGTCGCGTCAGTTGTCGTGCCCCGTACGTGGGCCAAATTCAAGCTGGGGACAAGCAGCGCTGGCGGCTGCTGCGGAGTTGTTCGGCGCGGCATGAAGAAGCTGTAACGAACATCCAGGGGCTTTTTAGCATCTGTCGCTAGGATCTGGATGACCAAGGCTTCTTGAAGGGCCCCGGGGCCCATGCTGTGGAGCCATTCATCCCTTTGACTCCAGCCGCTGTAGTTGAGCACAGAGCCGTTGAGCGGAATGATCGTCTCGGAGGTGGAGATCATAAACTTGCCATTGAGGAGGTAATGTCCGCTGGGTTTCCGGAGGGCGAGGTAGGCGGTGTAGCGGGTCTGGTCCTTTGGCTTGTGCTGACGGACCTTGATGTGGGTGGAGCCTGCGGGGATCTTCACCACATCGGTGTAGCCCTTACTGTTTGTCAGGGTGAAAGTGGACATTGGGTGAGCTAGGCGGCAAACGGATATGACTCTGCAAACGATAGTCTTGGTGGTAATATAAACACACAACAGGCACGCGTACGGAAGTCGGCAATGAAAACTTGATGGGCTCACGTTGGTCATCTCAAGTAACTCTGTCCAAAATCGACATGAAATCCAAGTAAAAAGTGGCGGAGGATGGGTGACTTTGAAAGCATGGTCTCCCATGGGTTTCTTCCGATTTTTGTTCTTCCTAACTTTCATGCCACGTTACGGTCCGCATAAGTCTGCTCAATTGCGATGCACCAACTGCAAGCACGTATACCAAAGTCGATGTTTTTTTGCCCCGAGTCCGCAATTTTCTGCGCTCTTACCTTTTCTTGGTGAAGTTGCCCACAACCCGGATGCATCCTGTGCTGTCGCCGCCACATATACCACATTTGTCAAACTGAAGTTTGGAGCCTATGATGCCATCACAGCCTGTTCGCACGCACTTCCCCTTCACACACACCGAGCTGCTGTAAGGACGGCATTCGGTCCCGTCTATCACCTGAAAATGGAGAGTTTCGTTCACACCCCCCTTTGTTTGACTAATATATCCCAGCACCATTTTCCTTTTGCCAAAAGCTCACCCTGTGCGAGAACACCACGTAGTAACCGGTTCCTTTCGCTCTGCAGGTGAGTTTACACACATCTTTCGGGAGAACTCCAGCATATTTGGGCACCCACTCAACAAAGGTTTTCACCCCTTTGGGATCTGTTTGCGGGCCGTTGCGCACCTCACATTGCTCCTGCCGGAAACTCTTATCTAGAGGACGACAGCATAAAAAGAAATGTTAGGTCTCGTAGCGTGGTTAACTCCTATCCAAATACCGAATGCTGCACTCACTGGATGGTGGGCATGGTGTGACATTGCATGACCGGTAGATGGCTCTCTTCCCGGTGCAGTAACGCCCGTTGTTGCGCGGTGGAGGGTTGTTGCACAGCCGCTGGGCAAATTGCACTCCACCACCACACGTTCTGGTACATGAGCCCCAAGAGCCCCAAGAGCTCCAGCTGCCATGGTTGGACGACTGAGGAGAGAGGAAAGGCTCGGTCTTATCAAGCATTCTCCGCTCCCCTCGAATGGCAAAAATTTTCAAGTGGAGTCACTCCCTACCGAGTAATGCCTCTTGCGCGTTTTGTCCACACACTTGCCCTGCAAGCAGATGCGTCCCTTCCCGCAGGGTGTTCCCTCCACGGCCGGCAACTTCTTGGTCAGACACACCATCTGTCCCTGACGAATGACCGCACACCACAGCCGAGAGCACACGTCCATACCGGGACACACGGTGTATTCTGGTCCAAAAGCCAGGCGGCACTGGCGCACGGCGTCATAGCTCTGCCCCGGGAGCTCTTCGGGACCCAGCAGGGGCTGACGGGGCGAGTCAAGAAGACACTCGGCTGCAACAAGGCGGAGCGTCAAGCATAAGATGATGCCGGCGGAGCGTTACTTTGGTTTTCTGCCTTGTCTGGGTCTTCACGCTGTACATTATAGCCATGCTGAAGTAGGTTATATGATCTTTGGCTGAGCTATTACACATTCCTTGCTCATTGAGAGATACCGTGGGAGTTCGCATGGATGGAAGTTGCAGAAAGACAAGACGAATTTTATAGGTTCCTGGGAGTTTTCACTTTTAAAAACAATTCCACATGTGTGCTTCTGTTCACTCGAGAAGATTCTTGAACATCCTCACCATTGCCATCGTCAAAGAAGTCTGTGATGGTGGCCGAGGTACAGCGGCTCCAAGGTTTGGACGCATCAATGGAGGTGAGGATGGAAGACATGAGCCTCTTGTCGCTGTTCACGCCAAAACGCTCCTCGCAGAATTTGGAGTCATCGTGGGACAAACCCAGCAAATGGCCTGAGGCGGACGCGGAGAAAGGAATGGAAATGTTCACGCTCGACGGAAGCAAGAAATTATGCCACAGGTTTGCACATGCGGCAAGAATGAGAAAAGAAAACACAATGAGCCCTCGGGTGATACTCAGGTGATTTTCATTCAACAACCGCAGAGCTGCTGACAGATGAGCAAGCCCAAGCTCGTCTGCATCTCTGTTCGTGTCTTAACAACTGTAGCCATGCTTACCGATCTCATGCGCCACTGTGAATGCGGCGTGAAGCCCGTCATCCTCAATGACGGCGCAGCTTCTCTCTGGAGAGCAGATAGTGCCGACGTCTGCCATTCCCAGGGTGTCACAGGAGTGATGGCCGCAGAGGTCCTGCAAAGATGGTATACAAAGAATTTAAAGCAGCCCAAGGACTTGAGTGGCCCTTCAATGTTGGTTTCTTCAGACATCATTTGCCAGTCCCACAGTGTGACATCGATTCTCACACGCCCATGCAGAGGATTGATTGGTGTACTGATCGCTCCCCCCCCCCACCCCCCCACATCATGTCAGAGAGGAAATGGTATGTGTGCACACTTGAATGTAAGCAGACAGCCTTGCATGAGCGCAAAAAGTGGGGAGTGGGGGGGGGGGATAAAAAACAGGTGTGTCCCATGAAGATGAACCATTGTGTTAAGTGTTGCTGACAGGCCTGCTGGGTAGCAGCACGGAGGCTCTATGGGAAGGGTGTTTACCCGTTCCAGGTGGACCAGTTGGGAACAAACTGCCTTGTGTTATGCACTCACACTTGACTGACTGGGTGGGACCACAGCACACACACACACACACACACGCACACACACAGATGTACATGACTTCTGTTCATGCAAACAAATACAGTACATGTGCTTACAGGAAATGAACACGGATGAACATGTGCAATCCAGCAAAATAGAAACCGTGTTTGACAAGTACCTGCTGGACACACACATGGCCAATGAAGGGAAACTCGGGCCACTGAGTGCCCTCTCCTCTCATTATTTGCAGCCAAGCACAGTGGTTGTTTTGAATCTAACGATGGGAGTGTAGAGAAAGTTTCTGACACTCTTTCACCCCATTACTTTTCTATTTGTTTCCTCACCGAAGCCATCCAAGACCACGGGGTGAAAGCTTGTGTTTTCAGAACCAAGTGGGGATCAAAAGAAGAAAAATAGAAACTTGGCTTGTTTTTACTCCCAAGAATGTTTTCCCTTTGGAAAGAGACAAGGGAGAAAAGCAAAATGGTCATAAAAGAGAAACAAATGAAAGGAAGTTGACCAAGGAATGGGGCTGGGGAGATGCCGGAAATGAAAGAGAGGTACCGGGTCGGTGGGTGGATAGCGGCATAGAGTTACGGAGGGATTGGCAGAAATAACAGGGGAGCAGGTGGCAGGCTGGATGAGAAAGTCGGGCGGGTTGTGTGCCGACGCGTGAGAGCCGGACTGAGATTTGAGTTAAACAAACAGCCAACCAGACGCACATGTTAAAAGTCTGAGTAAGCTACTGATGTCATGACTCCATCGAGTGGAGACCACCGCCAAAGTTGAACTTTCACCATTTGGCTGCGCGCAACAATATATGTGCGGAAAATGCTGTACTTCCTTCAAGGGGAGTGGAAGTTGGAGGAGAGAAGTTGTTTTTCTTGGCGAACAAACAAAAGGAGAAAACCTCCTCAGCGAAGCCTATAGACTAACTCGATATAGGGATGCACCGGGACACTTTGAGTGGAAGTCAAACTGCGCGGCTTGACGGACTTTGGAAAGAAGCGTAGCTAAAATTCACTGATGCATCAAGGTGAGCTGAGGGCGAGGTCCATGCGGTGTGCCCGCCGGCCAGGCTCGAGGCTTTGGGCTCCAGGCGCTGTCTGCAGGTCGTCAACAGATGCCAGACGAAGTATAACGTGTGAAATATCAAGAACAGCTAAAACAAATAGAGGGGCCGTCTGCGACGGCGGCAAGAGCTGGGAAATGTACACTGTGATGTAGACAAAAACTCACGGACGTGGTGGGTTGCGGGTTTGTCAAGTGCACAGGAAAGGGAGGAGTCGCCGCCGCACGTGCAAATTCCATGTAAAAGGTTAAATGACATAACTATGTGGCTAAAGTCAGCAGGCGTGCAAGGCAGGGTCAGACTTTGTACATTTAAGGATCGGTCGGTATGCACCCAGGGCATGCCATAATATCGCACGTTTTTTTGGCTTTTACTGCCATGCTACAGTTGATCCCAAAGACGTCCCAATTTTTTGGGGGTCTGTTTGTGACTCTTGAGATAACATCTCACAACTGACCGGACTCTGACATGTCTCGGGATGATTGCAAGCACTCGCAGGCAACGTCCAGCCAAATATCGGAGCGATATGTGAAAGAAAACAGGAGCGACGTTCATCTCTGTCCACATTTTTCAGTTTTCATTTTCATTCGATTGGTGGGCGAGCTGGAGCCTATTTCAACTGACTTTGGGGTATGCGCTGGGGTACGAACTGGTCAGCGGCCATTTGCAGGGCCCATATGAACACACCTATGTGCAATTTAGTCTGCTCAATGAACCCAACATTCATCATTTAAAATGTATTTATTGTATTCTTTCACACGTAGGCCTCTGTTTTACTCGCTATTTTTTGAAGAAAAAAAAAAACTCATTTGAAACAGTAGAAGACACTACAGCCAAAATCTACAGGAAAAATGAAACGGCCAGAGGGAGACTATTGAGAAATGGTTCAAATGTCCTCTCTCACATGCTGAAATTATTTGATTTCTTTTTTCACCCACAATGCAGCTGGCCACAAGACACCTGAGCCAAATGCAGTTATTTCCTGGCAGTGCTCTTTCAAGGGAAACAGTAACCTTGTGCTTGTGCATTCCTGTTTGACTCACGACTTTCCTGCAGCGTTGAGATGTGCAGGTCTGCCCATCATGTTGATTGACAGGCTAAAGTGACGACAATTTTAGTGCTCAGACGACAGACGAGAATTCATCAGGATGGGCTTTTTGAGGTAAACAGGTCAAAAGTTAAATTGGTGAAATGATTTTTTTGGACTTTTGAAGGGCATGGCCCAAAATTGCGGCGGCAAAAGACATGGATTTGATCATAACAACAGTGTTCTGCTTCCAGGGCATGTGGGGGTTCACCTGCTTCTTGGGGTTCAGCTGTGAAGAAACTGAAAAGGTTCCATACAAATTTACAGGTGTTGAAACTTGACATCCAGACATGCACTGGAGGGAAAAAAAATCTAACCAATGTTGCTTGTTTTTTTTTTTTTTTTTTTTATGGATAATAGAGCAATGCCACCAGGACTTTTAGGGCCATGGTGTGTTCTTATGCCTTCAAGGCATCGCTTCATCTCTTTTTCTGTGCCAAAGGGCCACCGCCTACAAACACCGGTCACCTATGCGGGCTTGCTCAAGCAGGTGGAGCGTCAACACCGCTTGTCGGCGGTTATCAACCGACTTTTGACACCCTTGCCAATTAATGACGGCACCAATCCAGCACATGCACCCTTTAGAAATCCAAAGTCCCACTCTGGATGTTTGCTTCAAGAGCAGGAAGGTGTGGCTGTGTGGGAGACATTGCGTGAAAGAAAGGGGTCAATTAGTGCGGTCTCCATACGGTCTGTGTTTGTTTTTCTGACAGCCTCAGCTGACAGATGCTGTAAAAGTAACCAGGAAAAATGTGCAGACTGGAGTGATGAGAAGATAATACAAGGCTGGGGAGACTGCCTCATTAAGTCTCTGTGGATTTTTTAGGGATGTTTCTGGCACCCTGCAGCTAATTTAAAAATTCCCGGGAATTTTTTTTGTCTGCAAAGCCTGCATGCAAATGCCTCTGGTCTCAGTCCCTGAGGCTTGAATGCTGTCAGGGGACTGGGAGGGTAGGCTAGAGACAGAGGAGTCTGCCCAGAAAAACACCGCACGCAGGAAATACAGTTTTTATGGCTGGTGCACAGATGCTGAGCAACGTAAAGCACACAAAATTCACCACACAGAGGAAGACAGGAAGGGGTGACGGGGCACGTTGGAAGCAGGTTCTCCAGACTGGGACTCAAAGGGTCAACCAATATGACAGCTCATGGTCAACATGATCACTCGCTTTGGTCACCATGTGTGTCCCTTACGCATTGAGTCACAAGGAAACGAACTGGACGTGTCAGCAACTTTCATGTTTGTGCAAATGCGCAACGTGTCACGCAGCGGGGAAGCAGAAGCAGCTGCCTGCCATCGAAATCAAAACAAGCCATCGGATGGCGTCACTCCGTTGCCTTGGCATCGCACCTGGGCGCTAAGCTGCTGCGCGGGCTGGAGGACGAGTGGCCCGGCGCCGCGAGACGCGATGCCAAGCGAAGGAAGTTTGTTTACCTGCCTAGTGAAGAGGATGGCGGCGTCGTGGTGGTGTTGGTGGTCGTCGTCGAGCGGGTTTTGCTGGTTCTGCCACTTGCAGAAGCTCTTGAGAGTTGCCGCCGCGTTCTTGGACACTTCCAGCCCTTTGTCTTTGTCGGTGACAGTGGTGACTTTCACCACGGACAGCCGGATGGGGTTCTCGATGCTGGCGTGCCCGTACAGCTTGGAGGCGATGGAGGCCAGCGTGAGCAGATAGTGGTTTAAGTCCTTGCCGTACTTTTTCGTCATGGTTTCATCCGCCACCAGAAGAAGCTCCACGTGTCTGGCGCGAGAGACCGACCTCCTGCGCCGCATGAGGCTGTCGGCAGCCGCAAGTCGAACAAGCCGGCTCAGCCATCCTCGCCTGTGCGCGCCCAGATCATCCACAGAGAATCTCTCTCTGGCCGTCCTCGTCCTCCCGCCGCGACTTTTGAGCCGACTTTTCCCCGCCGCGTGCCTGCGTCCTCTGCGCCCGTCGCGCGTCCCGCAGCTCTCGCGGCCGTCGCGCGCGGCTTCGAATGTGAAGCTCTCGCGCGTGAACACGTGGAGGGCGTGTTCCGCGTCCTTGTCCTGCAGAGCGCGCGCGTCGAGCTCGTGTCCCTTGGCCCGGACGATCGGCGTGACGGCGTAGCGCACGCCGTGCACGGCGAAGAAGCCTTCGAGACCTCCGCCGCAGAGGTTGAAGACGGCCAGGGACTCCGGGTTGGTGTTCACAGTTCCGCGGTACACGCAGTCCCGCTGCAAAGACTCCGCGCTGCCTCCCATCATAGCGAGGACATACTGGGGGCTCAAGTGATGCGACAGCACCGACTCATCACGCTCCATGTCCAGCTGAAAGCGACTCCCATCCAGGTAGATCAGATAACCCGCCTTCCCCCCTCCGTTATAGATCCGGTCAACAGTTCGCACGACCCCATCTGTCCTCCTGGCTGGTGTGAGCAGCGAGTCGTTCGCAGGTGGGAGATAGAAACCTTGGAAAACGGAGACCCCGGCACCGGGTTCCAAGTCCAACAGCACGCCCAGCAACAGCAGACGGAACCAAAGCATGCCGTCGGCCGCAGCACCAATGAGCCTCACCATTGTTCATTCCACACAGTGAGGCATCGACGTTGTCCGACTTAGGAACGTTCCGTGGACAAGCTGAGGAGGCAACTTATTTGCTGGTCCAAAACGCCCATCCTGCCCATGTCCTGTAAAACGGCGTCAACAAAAGCAGTGATAGGAGCAGGGATGGAGAGGGAATGTCGTAGCACGAACTCCGCGCAGGCTGGGCTGAACTTGGGAGAACAACATCACAAAGTTTGCTCTTAATAGGACACAGCTGAAAAGTCCTGCCCCCTTTGCGCTCAATCACCACTCCTCCACCCCCACCCCCTTTCGCTCGAGCTCTCTTCCGCAAATCACTCAAGTGCTGAGAGGAGAGAGAGTGGAGAGGAGTCCGAACAATGCTCCGACCGGAGGATCAACGTCTCAGGCTTCCAGTATCCCTCACAGACACTCTCAGTCCCCAGCGGCGCAAGAGTCACCCAAACACTTGATAAATTACGAACTGATGAATGAATGTTTTCCCCATCTGGTTTGGGGTGTAACAGCATCATCGTGCTCAGCAAAACAGCCATCTCACGACGCTGTTTTAACGCAACTAAATAAAAATGTGCCTGTTATTTTTAACCTTTGCAGCTCGACTTTTTAAATCATTCAAGATGTTCCATTGCGACTTAAATGGCCAATTTCAGGAAACCAGAAAGCGTTAGATAATTTATGGTTGTTCCATGAATAAGAAGTTATTGTTCTCGTGGGAGATGTTAACGGCATAGAGGCCAATGTCCGAGAGGAAGGAGAGAGGGAGGCAGTCTGTGAATGTGCATTCAATAGTAGCCGTCCTGTTGCACTCGAAAACGTGACAAAACAGGTGTGGGTTTGTACGTGGCTTGTGCAGGTGTGTGACGGAGCCTGCAAATGCCCTGAATTAGGAAAACTGGTGACGTGGTGCCAGTTGGGATGATGTGAGACGCGCTGTGTGGTCACAGAGCATTAGCTGTACACGCCTCACTGGAGATCAAGTCCCCCACTCACAAATTAGGAGCTTGAGTGTGGACTTTCTTAATCACTTTAAAGGACACACAAAGCAATTGACCCCTGCCCCTTGCTTTTTTTTTTTTTTTGGTACAATTTGAAGCATTTTCCGGGGGTCTTAACATGTTTGTGACATGCTCAAATTGCCCACAGCAGCTGCTCTTATGGCCCAATTATTTTTATACAAGCAATTTAAAAAGTCCATTTCCCATTAAATGTCTCCTTGAACAGATCTGCGCTGCTGCTCATTTGCTGAGTCACCAATGGAGGCCTGCAACATGCAGAATGAGGCTTCAGTCGGGAGCATCACAACTTCCAGTGCTTGTATTACCTTACCTCTGTGTTGAATTAAGCGAAGAGAGCCCATGTAGATTGGCATCCTAATCTGGAGCCCAACCTGTGCATGTCTGACTGGAAAGTTTCAGGGCGAGGGTGTGAGCAGCAAGCGCAGTCAAACACGGAACACCGCGTGGTGCCACTGCAAGCTTTGCCGACCGCATACAAAACCTCAGAGAAAGCATTCTGCCTCTGTCCAAAATCCGTGGCAAGCGGGGAGTCTTTGCATCAATACTCTTTTAAAGTTGTGATTTTGTTAACCTTTAGATATGTGTAGCTGTAGCAGCAGCAACCTAATCTCATGCGCGCAGACAGACACGTTTATATGACATGTTACAATTGGGGGTCACGGTGTTTTTGCTCTGATTTTATTCAGCTCTTGGCCACCGCGGTGGTTCCAGTATCAAGGTAAAAGGCATGTCCAATTCACTGAGATGTTACGCAATCTACCCCTCAACGGCAATCCTGCCGCCACCATTATCCATCTCTGTTTTATCCTCCGGTCTTGTCTCGAGTCCCCCGCTGCTGATGTTTGATCATCACATGAAACTGTCAAGTGTATTAGCCGCAGTCAGTAAAAGTCGTTTGTAAAGCCGAAGCAAATAGGAGCTTTGTGCGATTGAGGATGTTTGATCAGGTTGCTATGATGACAGCCAGATGTGTGTGTGTGTGTGTGTGTGTGTGTGTGTGTACATGTGGAGAGGTACTATACACAAACACACTTTGGCTCGAATCCCTACAATGGTCGCTCCCTCCCTCGATTAGTATTTCACACTCACCCATTGGATGACATCTAATCCCAATCATCTGAGATGGAGATTGTATGCCAAATCAACCATATGGACATAAACCGTCAACGCTACCCACCAGCCCCCCTCCCACACACACACACACACACACACACACACATTAACCCGCAGGCTGCACACGGCCCATCGCCGAAACAACTATCGAGGGCCTCCACGTGCCATGCCACGTGTATGGAAGCAGCCCGCCACTTACCGGGACTGAAAAAGGAGAGAATCCAATACGGCTCATTGACAAGCCGATCCTTTTACATAACCGCCAAGCTCTGTTTGTAAGTGGTGCTGTCAGAACTCCCTTACCCGCCCCAGCTACTCTGAAATAAACACATGCACTCTCTCCAACCTGCTTTCATGATTGCTAAAACCATAATTTGCATAAGGATGAAAATTGTATGAGGGGCACTACACTTACAGAAGAATGGCTCAACTGAGTTAACACATCTTCTCCTGCTGTTCCAAGCCTCTGTTCACTTGGCATTGGGCAGCGAGGGTGGGACTGTAGGCTGCATTTCTAGTCACTGTCTCAGGTCTTCTTGCATCTCAAATTGAGGACACACACTTCAAATGAAGAACATGGCATGCACTCTTTTATTCATGTATATGCATTGATTCTACGCGCAAATAAGGAAGAGCTGAAAAAAACTGCAATTTTTCTCTCTCTCTCCCTCTCTCTTAAACACACACTCGCACACAAAATTTCTGTGTCATATATTATAACATCACATCACAATGGTTCAGCAATTACAGCCTGTTTATATAGATTTCCAATATTCCTTCACATTTGGAGTCACAATCACAGTAGTTAATGGCGATTTAAACATTCTAGTCAGTTTTAGAGTACAACAACACAGTAGAATACGAGAAGTGTCAGTAAGACCTTTTTGGAATAAAGCAACACAAAAAAACAACAAATCTGGCAGTCTTTCAATCGCACATCAAAACTACCTTCATGTCAATGGAGTGGTGGGATATTGTTCAATTAACGGTTGGCTTCTTAACCTCCATTTGTTTGAGCTTTGCAGAAATCGCACATCGAAGTTTTGATTCAGAGTAAAAAATAAATAAAATAAAAAGAGTGAGTGAAGCACTTCATACTTGGGCAACCATTGCATGAGACAGATACAAAACCTACAGCACAAAATAAGGCATTTAAAGCAGGACGTGTCCAAATAAAGTAGGATTCAAAACTTCTTGGCTGTATCTTCAATTCAACTGAATGTAAAAAGTGAGGCATAAGATATTATGGAGAAAAAAAAAATGAAGGTTTTCCCGTGAGACACATTCAGACTTCACAGAAGTGATCTTCATGGTCCAGTCAGTCGACTGGTGATGCATGACGTCGGGCATTTGTCGGCAGCAAAATGTCCAACTTCATCACCAAATTTGTAGAAATGAACCCAAAGAACTCATAAACAATGCATGCTTCAGACAACAAAGTGTATGCAGGAAAGTGGTTAAAATTGCACGATTGTCTGTGTCTCATGTGTTGTCTTGTATTATTTTGTCATTTTATGTGAACTTTTCTTTTGATGGCGGCGCGGGCACCCGCAGCGGCTCCTCTTGTTGCATGTTGTCTTGAGAGGGAAGAAATTTCATCTGTGCACATTTGACAATAAAGTTGTACTTGATACTTGACTTGCTACTTTTTCATGTTAAGATGCTATAAAGGTAAAGAAAAGACAGCGATATGTTTCATTCTCATGTCCCAAAACCACTGACCTGCTTCTCGGCTGCTTAATTTTCAGCAAGTATGGCAATAACTGCATTGTGCTATGTAAGTCATACCTGTGCAAGAGTCTTACCCATTCGGGAAAATAACATATGTGCTAACATTCTTCCATTCCCCCCTAACAAGAAAAGCAAACGGCTTTGAAGAAGTTTCATTGTTGATTCTCAACTAATCAATCGCCAGACCGCACTCTCTTTAATCATATCTGCATGGCTTCAGTGCATCAGGAACCGCTGCTAAGCCACGTGATCCTCAACGATGTGGCCAATTAGTTCTCTCGGCTTCTCGCTCAAGGGACAAGCAAGGCTGTAGGTGGCGGAGTTGTCGGGATGGTGCTAGAAGGGTTGCTGCGAGTTTGTGGTGGGTTTGCACAGCCTGTGGAAGCGCTATGGGGTGGTGGAAGCACACAAAATAAATATACGTCAAGAACATTTGGGCCCAAGGAGCACAAGCTACCGAAGGATCAGTTAGAACCTGTGTGAGGGTGCCAGGCATAATGGCGAGTGCGTAGATGGCCCAGATGGGGAGCAGAGACACGGAGGACAGGGTGAGGAGCCAGCCGAGTGCTGTTGCCCAATCTGGGGCCACCAAGCCTTTCCCCAAGCTCAACGGAGACCAACAGACCAAAGAGAACAGGAAGGTCGCCTGCATGTCACACAACGGAAGATTTGACATCAATGAACGAAGGGGAACAAATACCTTCAAAAGATGGATGGACTGGATGGACATTGTGATTCACGGCACGTCACTTACAGTGCACACGGCTGGCGTCAAGTATTTCCAGCACAGCTTGAAGAGAAGCAGGGGCTTGTGGCCGGTCATGTCCTTGATGTTTGAACAAAAGCGCTCGGCACCTGGGTGCAAAAAAAAAAAAAAAAAGGAGTGGTTATGGTGAGTGAGTGAAATTAAAAGCAAGACGTGTATTTTCTGTAATTCAAGAAAGCACTGAGCTCTGGCTAGTTAGTGATGAACCACCCCCACTGACTGACATAGCTTCATAACTTTTTTTGTTCTCCTCACACGGCCCCAAGTTGAAGCTCCCCTGACAGTGACGAGAAATTCACCAGACGTTTTATTGTCGTGACTGTCACAGCCAAATAAGTAGCAAACAATGTCATGGAAGTAAAATTGCGATGGAATTCCCCCTCAAACTTTTTCTGCTCAACGCCAGGGCTACGTTCACCTACTGCTGAGAGCGTTGGAAAAAAAAAAGCATACACTCCTAATATTGCTCTTAATCAGTATCCCCCGCGAGGGCACTTCTCTTTTAATTTCAGCCTGAACTGACACAGCAGAGCATGTTCTTGCACATTTGGGATCTAAATGGTTGATTCCACCATGTCAAGAGTTGTTTTTAAAAAAAATGTTCCCTGGGGCCACTAGACTGTGAAGGCGAGGGGGCGGGTGCAAGGGGCTGATTGAAGGTCCGGAGGAGACAGACAAGAGCCTGGCTTTGAGCCAGTCTCCTTGCACCAGAGGGGAAGCTACGGCCATGTTCGGTCTACTGACTCTTGAGTGGAATGTCCATGGAAAGGAGGAAGTGGAAAGCTCGAGTGTGTGAATAATTTAATCACAAAAACTGTTTTTATGTCATTCTGCTCCCTGCTCTGCCACGTGTTTTAGGTTGAATTTTCAACAATCCGGACTTAAAACGCATGAGCGCACAAAACATGTGACTATGTTTCCTACCGTAGATCCAGCCAATTGCAATAGACTGGAAGATGGAGAGAAGCAGTAGGCTGGCTCCACTGCAGGAGAAATGATCATATATCTGGAACACATACAGACCACCCTGCATCGCCGGCAGGAAGACAAAGACACACACACACGCACACGCACGCACACACACACACACACACACACACACACACAAAGTGGACTACTCAATGTCATGAAATTTAAAGTGCCAGGTTAGTTCAACGCGTTCACACAGAGGTCATGTTACCGGCGTCACCATAATCAGCCCGATCAAGAAGCATACGAGGCAGATAAAGAGCAGCAGCAACTCTCTGCGGTAGCCGCGTCTGATCAGATGGGGGTACAAGTCGGTCACAGATGTCATCAGTGCCTCCAGACTCACAAACTACACCCCAGAAAAAAAGATTTCAGACAATAATTTGCTTAAGGAGCTTCATAGCACAGAGAGCGTGTGTGTGCGTGTGTGTTTATGTGTGTGCGTGCGTTACCCACCTGTGTGTCCAGCCCCAGCATGATGATCATAAGGAAGAAACAGATGGCCCAAAGTTGGGGAAGAGGCATCATGGCTACAGCTCTGGGGAAAGCGATGAAGGCCAGGCCGGGCCCTGTGATGACACAAATAATGAGAACATATCGAACTTTAAAATAAATCTAAAGCTTCAACGAGTTAATCCTCTGAAGGTGACTGAAATGAGGTCTGCTAAGGTGCACTAACGGCTCATGTGATATGCAACTGTGAAATATAATGAGAGTTCCGACTGTGAAAATCGTTTACTTTGAGGCAAATGGACCTTTGTTCTACGCACCAAACATAAAGCAGAACGAAAAGTATCCCACTAGGGGGCACTAGTGTGGTAACAAGACACTTGGTTAATTTGTATTTGATGTCCTGTTTTCACCTGACTGAGCCACAGTGGCGATGTCCACTCCTTGCTCCTCCGCCATGAAGCCAAGCACTGAGAAGATGGCGAACCCTGCCAGGAAACTGGTGGCACTGTTCAAGAGGCACAGATGGAACGAGTCCCTGCACACAGACACACGCACATGCAAGGAAGGAAATCTTTTGGATGTCAACTTTTACACAAAGTAGAGTACAGCAGGGGTGACCCTTACGTTGAATGCGAGCGACCGGTAGCTCGTGGACTGGTCTCAAGTCGATCGTGAGGGGTGTAGAGGGAAAAAAACCCCAAACATTTGTGTGTCTCCGCATGTTAGTAATATATTTTTGTGTTAATGCACACTGCACCCGAACCATCCTATCAGTCTCACTTTTACAAAAAGTATTAAAAATAAATAAATAAATAAAGCAGGTCACCTTTAATTTACAGTGGCACGTGACCTGCGTCACCGGAAGTTGTTAGCGCTCAGCAGTCTGCTGTTGCAGCTTGTGATCAGAGCTATTGTTCAATAGCTTTGATTATTATTTTTATTATTATTATGATTATCAGTCAAAGTTCATTTCGTGTACAATTCACCGATGGCACCCGCAAAGAATGGCAATCTGGGTCGAGAGAAGAATTTTTAAAACGGTACGCGTGAGCTTCGATAGTAGTTAGCAGGCTGCAAACGTGCGTCGCATGCATCCGCGTCAGGTCTTACACTCAGGTAGGCAGGAAATACTTTTCGCAAACTCCCAAACTTTTTTTTTCTATTTCATACATCTTAGGGGCCGTTATGGTTTTTGCTCATCAGGGCAAGTGCGTGGTAACAGGTTGATCACAGGAGGTTGGTTGATCGGAAAGTAGATTTTAGTTCAAAAATGTTTGGGCACCCCCGGAGTACAGTGTTCCCTTGATACTTTGTGGTTTGGCTATTGAGGATTCACTCTATCGCGGATTTTTGTGACCGTTGGTTCATCTACTGCAGTCAAAAAAAATGTCTAATATTTTTTAGGGGAAATTTGTTTTACAAAATCGAGACCGTGAATATTAGACAGCGCATTTACTGCAAAATCCCTTTCCCGCATTGTGGGTGCGTGGTGAAATAAGCTCTCAAGCGCATTGCGTCATCAGACCTTTCGGAAACTCAGAAAGTTCTTCAAATTAGAGGTGTCAAATTATCGCGTTAATTGCAATTAATTAATTACAGTCATATTTAGGGCGTTATGTTTTTTAATCACGCTAATCTAAATTTTAATCTCAAACTTTATTGTTTCTGTAGGTGGGTTGCCTTTTTCTAATATCCCTTTTTATGTGTTGGCTTCCTGTGTTCGAGTAGTTGATGGTGGGGAAACAACTGTTAGTCATAGCCTGAAGTGGACATTGATTGGCTGTCATTATGTTTGGGCTTGTTTAGCATAAGCTGATTGGCTCCCAATGGAGTTGAGCGGGCTAAGTAAGCAGTGGTGAGGCGAGGAGAGGTGAAAATGGAGAAGCATGTGAGAGTTCTCGGCACAATAAATGGTCAATTTACATTCCAAAAACACCCTGAAGGCACTATTGATAAAAGTAGAGTGTTGTGCCTAATTTGTAAGGAGTTTGCTGACCACTGAAGCAGCTCAAGTTTAGCCTCCTCTGTAGGTGGGTTGCCTTTTTCTAATATCCCTTTTTATGTGTTGGCTTCCTGTGTTCGAGTAGTTGATGGTGGGGAAACAACTGTTAGTCATAGCCTGAAGTGGACATTGATTGGCTGTCATTATGTTTGGGCTTGTTTAGCATAAGCTGATTGGCTCCCAATGGAGTTGAGCGGGCTAAGTAAGCAGTGGTGAGGCGAGGAGAGGTGAAAATGGAGAAGCATGTGAGAGTTCTCGGCACAATAAATGGTCAATTTACATTCCAAAAACACCCTGAAGGCACTATTGATAAAAGTAGAGTGTTGTGCCTAATTTGTAAGGAGTTTGCTGACCACTGAAGCAGCTCAAGTTTAGCCTCCGACATCAATGCAAAGCACCCAGTCGCGAGTGCAGCCATGGCTAACGTTAGCACCGAAAGCGTTAGCAATAGAGGGAGCCATAGCAAAGCTCTTCGCCAAACTAAACTCGAGGAGAACCCCCCTCGTACGAGGCATGAAGTCAGCATAGCTGCTGTGTCATCAGTAGCCTACCAGAAGTGGTTGATGGTTATCTCAGCACTTTATTTTGTCATGAACAGTGTTATTTTTGAAGTGCTAACTTACAGCACTGTGATTTAAGGGTCTCTTATTTATTTTTTATTATCCGAAGCAAGTTCAGTGTTGATTACTTGTATTGCTCAGAAAAGTGTTCTTACTGTTTTTGATATGTTAACCTAAGCACTTTTTATGGACCTGATGTTCTATTTTTATTTTTATTTTGTAATTATTTGGAGATTTGCAAAAACAAAACAGCGATATTCCCCCTGGTGGTCGGAACTAAAGGTTGCAGGTAGGATTTGGGATTAGTCTCAAATACAGCAGAAAGTAAATGGCTTGGACTGCATCTGGTGAAGTCTGTTTAAAAACAATAAAATACTTTATAATACCACTTTTTTGTGATGTGAATCTTTTGATCTGCCTCAATGCTCAATAATGTAATGAATTTAAAACGAAAATAGGGGTTTTCTCAGCAATTTCCAGATGAGATTAAAATAGATTAATTAGATCAATTAATTACAGATATAATTAATTAATCTCACTTTTTTTTAATCTCTTGACAGCACTAGTTCAAATATGCCATTCAGTTATTCGGAGTGCCCCAAAAAAGGGGAGCCCGGTGCAGGCAATGCTGTCCAAGGAGAGTAAAGAGTTGCGTTCATCAATGAATTTCAACCAAGTCACGCTCCGCACCTCAGCAGCGCCTGATGATGACGAAATGTCGTCTTAATAACTAGGTTCAAGTGTTTCTTTTTAATCTTAAAATGGCTTACCTTAACCAGAATCCCACACCGCATTGTAGCCAAAGTACAATCATGATGGATTAATGTGGCTTGCCATGACTAGGGTAATCTTCTGCTTCAGTGGAACGTAACATTCGTGAAAAGTGAGGGAGCACTGTACACTGTATGTTCAAGTGTACCTGGCGACAGTATCTACTGAGTTGGTGGCCTTGCATTATAGCCTAGCTGTGAAAAGAAGCCCAAAGCTAAGTGCTTGGCTGTTTTTGAGCATGACTGAGTCAAGTGTGGGAAATTGGGTAGCTGAGGCTTGTCTTCAAGGTGTGGCTGTCTCCAAATGTGTTTTCCCGGGTTATTCCTTTCATTCTTTCTGGAATCCATCTGACCATTAGATTCTACCATTTCATTTTACGGTCTCGAAATGACTGGCTGATTTGTGTGGCGGTGTGTATGACGGTATGACAAAGTGTCTCACTTGTAACAATTGTTGTTGTATTTGTTGTAACTGCCAAGGGCTGTGAGACTCCCCAAACAGATTCCATAAGAGAAAAATATCTGGGTACCTGCATCCATCCATACCTACAAAGAGGGGAGACAGTCAAGAAAAGGCACTTGGTACAAGCTACGGGCCTTTGTTACCAAACTTTCATATCCTGTCGATATATCATTTGATAGAATCTGCAGTTTAAGTCTTTAAAATCTGGACCACGAGGTGATACAAAACCTAAAGTTCATATTTATGGCCGCAATTGTCTGTCTATACCTGAGGGTCAGCCAAGCGAGTGTGGTTCGGTTTGAGGTAGTAGATGATTCCCTGGGCTGCTCCGGGTAGAGTGGCACCACGCACCAGCAGCACAAAGAGCATAACATATGGAAAGGTAGCGGTGAAATACACCACCTAGAAAGTACACAGCGCAAAAGAATTGGCAAGAATGATTATTGAAAGCAACAAAAAAACTCAGCAAAATGAGGTGGAACGGGTCAGACAAGTCTCGGGGAATACCTGCTGCTATTAAATACATTTCGGGCAAGTGATGGCATTTTATACTCACCTTTCCTGTGGATTTAATGCCCTTCCACACGCAGAAATAACAGACGAGCCACACAAGCGCAAGACACAATGCCAATTTCCAGCTTATCGGACCAAGCTCGTCTAAACTATCAGAGAGGTGAAGCACTTCTCGCCTGCAACATACAGTATACAGACAGTTGTTCCAATTAAAAAAAAAAAATCATTTTAACCAATGAATCATTATTGAGGAGACACTCACTCCCAAAACTCCATAATAGGGGAAGTGACGTTGTCAGGCAGGCTGCTCACATTGGATGTCTGGTTGTGGTGATCAAACATGAAACAAGCATCTGGAGGGAAGCAGACAAATATACATTAGACATCACACAGCTTTCAATGTGGAATTGCCTGCGGCTACCGCGCTGACTGACCAGTGTTCCAAGAGTTGTTACAGTGTGACCAGGGCAGTGCAGTCTGAAAACTGTAGGACAGATAGAGCAGAGCCCAAGCCAGTATGACAATGTAGTACACACATCCATGCAGGATCATGATCTGGCTGGCATAACCTAGACCTGCAGACAGACAAGAAAAAGAACATCTTATTGCGATTTGGTGAGCGATGGTGAACCACAACTATAAAACTCAATTCAAATGAAGATGGCACGTAAATAAAAACAGAATACAATGATTTGCAAATCCTTTCCAAACTATATTCAATTGAATGCTCTGCAAAAACAAAATACTGTAGTTAATGTTCAAACTGCTAAACATTATTGTTTTGGGGAAATATACATTCATTTTGAAATTGATGCAGCTCGTTCCAAAAAAGCTGGGACCTGGGACAAGGGCATGTTTACCACTGTGTTACATCACCTTTCCTTTCAATAACACTCAATATCTGTTTTGGAACTAAGGACCCAAATTGTTGAAGCTTTATCGGGGGAATTCTTTTGCATTCTTGCTTGATTTACAACTTCAGTTGCTCAACAGTCTGGGTGCTTCATTGACAAATTTTGCACTCCATAAATTTTCAACGGGAGACAGGACTGGACTGTTGGCAGGACAATCACAAAGACAATAATTTTACTACTAATGGTAGGCTTGTGCTTAGCTGCGCCCCTTGCATTTTGAGCCAGCTTCCTCAATCGCTGACTGACATCATATCCGTTCGATGAATTTTGGTGATGGAGAGTGAACGCTTATTTATTTCATCCACAGTCACATGTGGAATCATAAATACTCTTAAATGCTGTTGTAAACCACAATATGCTTACAACTGGTTGCGTCTTGAACTATCAAGGGATGCCTAGCTTAAAATTCAAGACACTTGTTTTCTGTGAATGTGAAAGTGTGTGGATCATTTTTGGATTGCTCGTGCCATGTAATGAGGAGATGCTTGTGTTTGAAAATTTGAGTCATAGTTTGTAATTCTATATTCACCATTTGTGGATCATCAATAAAAGCTGACAAAGGTCAAGAAGAACGACGGAGGTGGAAGCACTTTGCTATTTTACACAATTACAATCAATGGTCAATCTGATCACATGTACAGAAATTCCGCACCACTTCACGCTTCTCGTTTTGCAAATTCAGTGCTTGGCGGTTTTTTCCCAAATACAGTATTCATAAAAAAAAAAAAAAAAAAAAAAAAAGCCACATCGGCATTCATATTGTGGAAAGGCGTGTTGTTTCATGTTGATGCGCGAGAGAGGAAGTTTCCCTTCATGTTTGTCTCTTTGTGCTCTGCGATTGGCTGGCAACCAGTTCAGGGTGTCCCCCGCCTACTGCCCGAAGACAGCTGGGATAAGCTGGAGCACACCCGCGACCCTTGTGAGGATAAAGCGGATGAGAAAATGGATGGATTGCCCCCTACACCCCTCGTGATCGACTTGGAACCAGTCCGTGGGCTACCGGTCCTAACATGAATATTAAAAATCATTTGTGATAAATTCTCATCAGCTAACATAGATAATTTTAAGAGAATTGACAGATAGTTGTAACTGATTTCAAAAGCAAGACAAAGTGCTCGAAATTACACAATCCACTGGCTTTACATGAAGATTTTTTTTCCCATTCCAATTGAGATCAAACATCACGTGATTTATCAAGATAGAGTTCATTCATCTATTTAGCACAGTAGTTCTGATTGTTTTAACACTTATTGAAGCAACGGTTTCATAAAAAGAAATTAAAAATAGCTTGAAACAAGTTTTCTCATCATAGACAAGCTCTGGTAAGACATCACCATATTCAAGTGTGTAAACGACGACATCACTACGCATATATGTCAAGAAATAGCATGTGCAAACTGGACAGAGCCGAGCAAACCAGTTAAAGATAGTGTGTTTAGTGGCAGGTTCACATGAGACGGGTTTGGAGTGGCACACAAAGGGGGAGAGAAAAAAAAAAATCACAGGGAGAGGAGCCATAGGCCAAACAAGCACTCGCTAGTGGCGCACTCTCTGACGATTTAACTTTTTTAATATTTGGGACTATCACAATTTGTGATGGGATAAGTTAGTGTGATTCTGTAACTTTTTTGGCAGCTCTGCATTTTGCCACATAAATGTTGGCCCACTCGCAATTTAGCATTTCCATAGGTTTGTTTGAAGGGCAAAATACACATTTTACATCGTAAACAGCGATGTGAGACCACTTATTTCGAGCCTTGCTATAAACAGGAAGGAGCTTCGAGCTGATCCCTGATGCAGGCTCACATCCACATTTAACTCCCTGTCGCACCTACAACACACCCCACCACTGTTCTGCTACCCTCATACATGTCCTGTGCTATTTTAACATAATTCTCTGCCACTCCAGACTTCCTCACGCAGTGCCACAGTTATTCTCTGGTAGGGCTGGGTTGATACAGTAATCCCTCGTTTATCGCGGTTAATGGGGACCAAAACCACCCGTGATAAACGAAAATCTGCGAAGTAGCGTCCAATTAACATAAACGGGTAAAAAAAAAAAAAAAAAAAATTTAATATATACATATATTTTATGTTTGAAAAAATCCGCGATGCACTGAACCCGCGATAAACGAACTGTGAAGTAGCGAGGGATCACTGTATATCGTTCTCGTATCATCATTGGCAAATGAACATTCAAGATATTAATATTGAAAATTAGGATAACGTTAGTCATGTGGTGTTCCCATGCTTGTGCTGCATACACAGCTTCAGGCTAACCAATGACATTACTTCCTTTTAAGTTTGGCATTCATTGAACGCTAAAGCCAGCTAATGACGATCATCTTGCGGAGAGTGGAGAGTGTGAAAGGTAGGTTGGGAGGATGAGAGGGAGCGACGCTAAGACAAACGCAGCCTCTGCCAGAGGCAGAGCTGTGCACCGTCAAGCCATAGAATACTGTAAATACGAAACACATTCAGTATATTGTTTTAAAACAAACCATTCGCAAACGTTTTAACACTGTGTGGTTTTGATCTAATGTCCTTTTTTGTCACCAATCCTAGCTAAAAACTGCATGAAAAGTAGTAGCTGCGCTCTATGTGCACATACATCGTATTTTAACAGCTGAATTCTTCTCTTCATGGAGGTTTTTCTCATTCATATATTTTCTGTTTTGGCTGTCAGACAATGGAGAGAGTTTGAAATACTCGGTGAAATGTGGCCCAGTAAGACTACATGTTAGCTGTTGCTATCTTGAAGCTGTCATCGTTATTGCATCAGCTCAATTGAAACCAAAAATGTATTTTATATCAGAGCGCACAGCCAAAAGTGACGACATGCCCACTACACCTCTGAGAGCCCACAGAGAGAGGGAGAAAAACCTCACATTGATGTACAGTGCAAGAGCAAAACAGAAAGTCGCTAGTTTTGATGCTTCTCTGGAGAAAATAAATCCTTGAGCGCCGAACCACATTTTAGGGGGATCCCAGAAATGCAGGCTCAGAAAAAATGCGATCACAAAAAATATTTATTTACAGAAAAGCGCACTGACAACGTGCAAACAGAAATCACAAAACAATGCAGAAACAAAACGTGCTTGCAAAAGGCAAGGTAATTGTTAAGATGAGAATATAAACGAAATGACAAGAGTCCAACTACACGAAGCACAATAAAGAGCAAGATCAAAGACAAAATAATACTTGCAAATAAGGAACTAGAGAGCAAAAACGAGTTTGACGAGATCGAGAGGTCACTTGAGCAAAAGCAGAAAATAAGATCAATAGTCCGACAAGAGACGAGGCAACTTAAGTACATGGCAAGGCCGCTGGAGGGAAACACCCTTCCCTCCAGCTGGAGCTGAAACACAAGCAAAATCACACAGAACATGTCAAATGTGGGCCCTTGAAGGCAGAGGGATGAAAAATAACTTTCCTTGGCAACCCGAGCTTTTCCACGACGATTACATTTTTTGCTCATTTTCCAAGACTGGAAAACTGGTCAATCATTCTCCAGGTTTTCCAGGATGTGTGGGAACCCTGCTGTTGAATCATTTTATAAACGTGCGATCAAAATTCATAACAAGTGTACAACAACAACAACAGTATCATCACCATCTTATTCTTGCCAACTACACCTTTCTAACTTATTATTTGATTAATCACACAAACTGTTGTTTGCTTTTTAAAGTTATTCATGGCGCGGCTCCTCCTCTGTGAGGCTTTGTTGTGTTGACGTCGGAAAAAACAGTTCGAGTCACACGCTGCGCCTCCGGAGGACAGCGCAAAACACACGACCGCACTCACCAAATCATCATTTCATTTGGAATAATTTACCAAGAGGGATTCAGGACTTCCAGTGTTTGCACATCTGACAAAGAACTGGCTGTTATCTTCACAAAATTGAAAATTGGACACATTTTGCAATGAGTGAGATGAAAGTCAGTGATAATGTATATTTGAAAGTGCATGTTTTGCACAATGATAGGGAGGATGAAGGAGGGAGTTGGAAATGACAATGTGAGATAGAGTGACTGGGTGTCCAAGTGTGCACAGTTAAAGAGAATGGTTTTAGAGTCAATAGTCTGACACACATTGTTTGTTATCTAGTTTTATGATAACTCAACTAGTTATTGATTCACATACTGTCAAATGTAAACTTTTTTGTATTTATTAACGACAACCTGTCCAGAGACGACTGGTGTAAATCAGCATGACAGCAAGCGTCTTTTCTGACTTTATCTTAGTTCCTGTGTTGTTGTGGCACATTTTGTATGGGGGAGCCTCAAAACCCAATCCAGGCTTGCTCAGTTCAAAGCGCAAGGAGTCCATGCAATTACACCCAATGTGTGGGGTGAGCGGTCAACTGTTTTGGGAGGTTTTTTGGGGGGGGTTTTGCAACTATGTGGTCGGGTTCAGAAGCACCGTGCCATGTATGGCAGGCTTTAGCACTAAGCTTAGTAATGTGCCAAGCCACACAACACATGCATTGGAAAATTGGTACAAAAAAAACCCGCAATGAAGCAGTTAACGCACACCACGTACACAAGCACAACAAAACATTTCTGTTCGAGCAAAGATTTGTTAAATCTATCATTAAAGCACAGTTGTAGTACAATGTGAATCTAATTCATTTTTTTAATGAATTGCTGACTTTGTTAATGTTGATGACTGTCAGTAAGTTCAAATTTAAAAAGGAATTGAACCCTGCACCTCTGCACTGTGAGGCGGAGGTTTTGGTCATATCAGTCGGCCCTGCTCTCTGGCTGGGTACACTGTCACAGGCTTTCTCTAGAATCTAGATCCACAAAGACAAAATGCAGCTCCTTCTTGCCCTCTCTATATTTCTCCATCAACAAAGTCAAGGCAAATAATGCATCTGTAGTACTCTTCCTAGGCATGAAATCATACTGCTGTAGACAAATAATCAATTCTGTCTAGCTTCCATTACTCTTTCCAATAACTTAATTGTTTGGTTCGTCAACTTTTTATAGGTCCCGCAACTCTGTATATGGTCCTTGTTCTTCAAAATGTGCACCAACACACTTTGACTGCATTCCTTGGGCATCTTCTCACACTGTACAATGCTAATAAACAACCTGGTAAAAAAAACTAACAAAAAAATAAATAATCCATATCAACCTCTCTGAGATACTTCCATATCTCCAAATGTATGTTGTAAGGACCAACTGCCTTTCTCGTTTTCTTCCTTTTTTTCTTCCTTGTCTCTCATTTTCTTCATTCATCAATTCCTGTCTCTCTTATCTTTGAGATGCAAACCTTTCATGTTGGTTATGTCTTTTTTTCCCCTCCCGGTTTCATCAAAAAAGTTAGTCTTGAATCCAAATGTATTCATCTTTGGAGTGTCCTTGACACATGCTTAGTGAGGCAGCCTCACCTCAGCCCTCGTCTATGGCCAGCGCATTACTGGTGTCCATAATTGCCAAAAAAACTGGTGGCACACATGACACAAAATAAGAATAACTTTTCATTGAAAAACAAAAACTCTCTCTCTCTCTTCAGGCATCTGTCTCTCTTTCTGTCTCTGTCTCTCTCTCTCATTGGGTCCTATTTTCGTGCCAAGCGCAGGTCAAGCACAAAGTGCAGTCTCACTGCGCACATGGATTGGAGCTTTGTTTCTTTTGGTATTTTGCAGGACTATGCACAGGTAGAATCTGGCATAATGGGGCATTTGCGCCTTGGTGCGCCATCGTAGGATGTAAGTACCGTCGTATTTTCACCACCGTAAGACGCACAAAAAAAGTCTTAAATTTTTGCCTAATAATGCGGGTCACCTTATGTATGCATCGGGTTACAAAATCTGTGAATGCTGTTGTGTGACATTAAAAAATGTACGGTAATGTTCTTCGTTACATAAAATAAAAACGCTTTATTGGAGATTTTAATCCTTTCTTCTGCTGCTCTGCCTGACTCACTTGGCTTCCATTACCGGCTGTTCTCTCAACCAATCCCCACGTTCCTACATACCCGCTTGGCCTATGGCAAGTGATAAGGGACATGCATACTTTCCATTTTGAAATTCAACAAAAAGATTGCTGACATACACATGCAGCCCAACCACATTACCAACACGGACAAGGTGCCGCTCACTCTTGACAGCCCGGTGAAACACGCTGTAGACAAGAAGGGGACCAGCACGGTCGCGATTTTTAAGCCGAAAGAAAAGATTGCAGCCAGAGACAGTGAAGTTGCGAGCGGTGTGGGAGCAATGGCGAACACAGCTTCACTAAGACTAGGAGGCAGCGCTGGGCAAGTTTATGCCACAATTAGTGAATGGATTGGGGATGCTTGGGCTGCTGTTTTTCCATGCCAGCGTCCCATAATACAATGTGCCCCTTGTGTATGTGTGAAATACAGAAATGGCACTCGTAACTGACACTATGGCTTTCAATGTGGTGCGTTGTATGGTTGTGAAAATACGGTAGTCTTTTCCTGGCCAATCCTAGCAGGACCACACATTTGCATCAAAATCAGGACTGTGAGATGATGTAGTCGGACGTGTATATGGCGTGGGCAATTGGAGATGGCCTTGCACCCCCGATTGTGCATCTGTGTCAGATAAATATAAAGTACAAAATTACCTCCAAATATTGGGCACATGGTTCTCCAGGCGCTGACCCCGCCTAGGCTTGTGTACTGGCCCAACGAAGTCTCCAGGAGGAACAGGGGAACACCGCACAGCACCAGGAACAAAAGGTAAGGTACAAAGAACACCCCTGGACACACCAATAACACAATAAACCCCATGAAAGCTATCAAAACACTAGCGACTAAGAGATAAGGCAAGATGGGTGAGCAGAAGAAGCTAATTTACTTTGTACATCTCTTCACTCCTGCATCGTTTCCCAGCATTTATTTTACCTCCTCCATTCTTGTAGCACAAGTAAGGGAACCTCCATACGTTGCCCAAGCCAATGATCTGGCCTGCCACGGCCAGAAGGAACTCAGCCTTGCTGGCCCATTGGCCCCTGGCATGCAGGCCAACTTTGTTGATTTCTGTTGTTGTCTGGCTCGGGGTTCTTCCTTTTTGAACGTTGTCCAGCAATATCTCCCCTTCCTGTGGCAGCGACTGGGACGTCATCGCTGGTTACATACACAGCCCCTTGAAAGAAAAAAACCCAAAAGGTTTTGTGCTTTAACGACATGCAGCTGGGTATTTTGCAAACGGGAGCTATTTGTCTGCAGTATGTCCTGTGATCCGCATGTCCCTGGAGTTTCTTGTTTTTTTTTTTTTTTCATTAAAAAATGAAGGTTTCTGAAAACTCCGGCCAAAGTGGGGATTTACGGATACCTCCTGAACCGCATTTGGTGTGGAGAGTCGTAACCGGAGATTTACAGCGTCACCCTGCTACAAAAATGCTCTGACTTTTCATGCGCATTTGTGTTTTCATGAGACACAACGTGGATGCCCACAAAATTGTGTTGGTTATAACCATTCTCCAGGTGGTTTTTGCTTACTTATTTTGCAACGCCAACCACGGCGCCTCGCCGAAGAGCGCAGGCGAAGGAGGACTGTAAGGTCGGCTCTTTACCACCACATGACCAGGAGTGGGCACGTCAGCAAGTTTTGCTGCATCATCTGTCCATCTAAGTCCATCATGCAGCTCTGGCACAGACTGCACTTGTGCCCTACAGCTTGTCCGCAAACTGTTGACATGCTTCCTCTTTTCTTTTTGGTCAGCCTCTCTGATGACTGTACTCTTGGCAGCACACGACCGCATGGCAAGTGCGCTACCAGCTTCACACTCAGTCTTCACGGGAAGTTACATTAAAAAAAAAAAAAAAAAAAAAAAAAAAATCCCCCAAAAAAAAAAAAAAAAAAAAAAAAAAACAATAAAATAAAAATTCACTGACTGAACATCTAGATCTGGGGTCATAAATGGGGTGCCTGCGGGCACCAGGTAGCCCCAAGGACCACATGAATGGCCGACAGGCCTGTTCCAAAAATACTTCCCCAGTGATTGAGTATAGTGATTTTCTAGGAACGTTGTACAAATGATCATTTGAAAATTGTAAACAACTGCAGAGATTGATAGAAATAAAGTGCTGCATATTGGAATTGATGTTTCACAATTCAGGCGAGAAATTATGAACATGGTCACTGTCTTAATAGAAATGAACGTCATGAATTACTACCGATGACTCTTTTTAGAATTGATTATCTTATCAATTACTCGGGTAATTGCCCCCAGGAATTTTGGTGGCAACCAATTCTGGTGGTCGGCTTAGCTGATTTTTTTTTTTTAACTAGCCCAAATAATGACAAAATAATAACCTGATTAAATGCAATTTGACCACATTTTGTTATTTCAGATGAGTGTATCAAACTGGCAGGTCTTCACACTAATCAGCAGCCAAGATGAATAAAATGAAGAAGGAGAAGAAGAAGCCGAAGCAGGCGAGAGGACGAGAAAAGATGTGACTAGGTGTTCAAGCTACTTGGGCTGGATTTTACCCTTTACAACAATACGGAGCTGAAGTCTGGTTCAGGTAAGCCATTTTAAACTTTAAATTAAAACTTTTGGGGGTTTTAGAAGCAGGCAGCCACCATTTAAATAGTTTGGCAAATAAGTGTATGTGAATGGTATGAGTTATGTGTGGATTTGGGCAAATACATTAACTGATAGTACACACCACATAACAATTTAATCACATTAGATTTTCCATCAGTCGGACTATGACATGTTTTTTTTTTCTGACGGACTGACTGACGATTATAGTTTGGCTTGAAAAAAATGACAGACTGACAATGACGGAAGGTAGCCAGGCTGCTGACGGATAACGAATGACGGACGGGATATCCATCCATCCATTCTCTACCACTTATCCGGGGTCGGATTGCGGGGGCAACAGTTTGAGTAGGGAAGCCAAGACTTCCCTCTCCCAAGTCACCTCTTCCAGCCCTCACAAGGCGTTCCCAGGCCAGCCGGGAGACATTGTCTCTCCAGCGTGTCCTGGTCGTCCTACCGGTGGGACATGGCCGGAACACCTCACCAGGTAGGTGTCCAGGAGGCATCAGATGCCCGAGCCACCTCATCTGGCTCCTCTCGACATGGAGGAGAAGTGGCTCGACTCTGAGACCCCCCTGATGACTGAGATTCTCACCTTATCTCTGAGGGCGAGCCTGGATGTATTTGTTTTTCATTTTGTTAAATGCCCACATATGATTATTAATTGATTCATGTGGAAGAAGCTGAATAAAGGAGCAGTAAAACACTGTCCTGCCATTTGGAGTGTTCCATTAAACTGCCACGCATGTTTTTTTTCCCCCACAAGGATGGGGAAAACATGCAAACTCCACACAGGAAGGCCGGAGTCGGAATCGAACCCTGCAGGTCTAAACCGTGAAGCCGACACGCCCACCGGGCCACCATTTATTCATTTGTTATTATTTATTTATTTATTTATTTTTATCTTATTGGATTTTATTTTCTCCCCTTTATTCTTTATTCAGAGATGAAAGTGGACTTTTCTGAAAATTCCGGAAAAATAAATAAATATATACACACACACACACATAC